ATATTTTAAAAATTCACGGAAATATTAAGGAAAGTGTGGTTTAAAGTTGGAAATATGGGAAGCTTTATGGTAAGTATTACGGACGAGAAATAAACAAGCCCTGCTGTGGATCTGAAGAATAATAATTTTATCTACAGAGTTATATCCAGTTTGTCAACATTGGACATTTTGAATTAAACTGGTTCAAGTAACTATTTTTGACCTATCATCTTTCAATGATTATTAGTCAAAATAAACAAAAGGAATGTCCGCCACCCAATAATTTATGTTAAAATTTTGGATTAGTAACCAAACTGAATGCCAAGCAAAAAGCTTAGTGTGAACAACAGAGGAACCTACCTACAAGGAAACCGTGTGGGTGGAAATACCGCCGCCCGGTCAAATTTCACAAAGCTTTAAAATGTAAAAGATAAAACGATCATTTATGCCATTCGAATATACCTATAGAAAGAGTACAAAGTATTTATTTTGAATAAGAGTTAAGAATGCGTTTGCGAGAGAACCATGCAGGGATCGGCACATAGTGGGTGACCGATTTTCACCATTTTTTTTATGCATGATGGGTAACCCCTCCAAACACCACTGCCACAATTCTAGATCAATCGAACCATTTTTAGAGTGTAGACAAAAATTTAAATTTTAAGACCGAAAAAAGCCAAAAGAATTATCATTTTCAGACCATTTTTCAATTATGGGGTGCAACTAAACTACGGTGAGTAGATTAGTGAAATTATATAGGGTAGCAGAGAGATATGACTAGTAAGTATACATTCCGAAAGTTTATTGGACTTTCATTGAGGTGTTTTTGATATAGTGACTTAGTGCTGCAAGGTACCAAAATAGCTCAATTTAGGTATGTCATTTTATTCTATCTATAATATCTCACCCACTGCGGGTAAAAGAATTTTTTTGAAAAGCTGACTGAAAAGGCAATGATCTATAGTATTAAGATCTAGAAAATGAATGTGTGGCACTCGACCCGTTTAATAGTAAATAATCTCCATTTTTGTCCAAAAATAACGATTTTCATCAAAAAATGACGAAAAAAACCCGCTTTATTTACACACTGAAAAGTGTAACAGGGCACTGGGAACCAACTTAACGTGGGTTCCAGTTCCATTAAGAACAAGCCATAATAACAATAGAAATAAACAAATAAATATAAACGCATTATATACTTTCATCAAATAATTCACGTTTTAAAAAATGTTTCATTATCGAAACTACAAATGCTTATTACCAATAAGTATTTCAAATTATAAGAAATAAAGCCCTACTTTGCTATCTACTATCTATCTATCTAAAAAAGTATCTAATCATGAATACTGTGCTCACAATTACACCATTAAAATTTTTAAACGATGAAGTTTGAAAAGCTTAATGTACTGTAAATGCCAAAAGAGCTGTTCTTGGTAAATATAATTAATCTATCTAGGCTAATTTTCAACATTTTATTAATTCGGCAATATAATCTCATGGTCTAGTAGAAGGATGATGAATTTTTGAACAGCAAATCGTAAAAAACTAAATAGTGTATTTTATACTATAGTAGTCATATACACCTGTCTATACTTGACGAACGAATCAAGTGGTATTTCAAAAAGACAAAAACAAATAGTATATGCGTGTAAGGTCACTATTGTAGCATACTCCTCGCAGTGTTTCGTTTGATTAGACCTAATCACACTCAACACTGCCGTAATGAAAGCAAATTTATGTTCGAAATTATGACTGGTCAATAGTCCGATTAACAACCAATACCTAACTGCGTAACAATATCATTCGGGTTTAAACCGAGCTCCGAATATGTTTACATAACGTTACGTCATGATTCACGAAATTTATTACGCCCAATTAACCAGTGCATAGCAGAATATTTCATAAAAACTAATTGCGTGACAAACGCGTCTATCAGCACAGATACAATGTAAACAATACTGTTTCGAGACGAACAATACTTTCATCCTTTTTTGATACCTTAAATCTCTGATTAAAGTTTTAGGGAAGATTGCAGATTAAACGAAGGACTGTCAAGTTGCTGTACTTAGGAGAGATATTTGATTGAACTGGAAAAATAGACACACTCCCTCAAAAACTCAAGTATCAGAAGTCAATCCAGCAATGGCCACAGAGGTATTTTTCGGGCCATTGTTTCAGGAATATGCTATTGTAGTTTTCTTTCGGATAAACTGGCTAGTTAACCGCATTTTATTTGTGCGAAAATGAACAGCTTGTTTCAACCGCCATCTTGGATGCTGGAGTACAAACTTCGGTTTGACGAATAATAATAATATGTACATTTATATAGCGGACGTACTCCATGCACAGAGGTATGTTCGCTGCGCATACAGTTAAATTAATCTAATTAATCCTGATAACAAGATGGGTTTTAATTCTTGATTTAAAACAAGAAAGAATTTGAGATGATTTAATGATCTCTGGAAGATGGTTCCACAGATTAAGTGCATTCACTGAGAACGATCCGTATCCAAATGATTTTAATTTCCACCTTGAGCAACACAGCTGATGGAGGTGTGTTCGGCCGGAGGTTAGGGAACTTGTACTTGCATAAGAGTACATAAGTATATTTGAGGTTAGCCATTCACACACTGATGCGTCAAAGACAGACTTTTGAAGATAATTCTTTCATTTATTGGCAGCCAATGGAGTGTTTTAAGAATAGGAGTAATATGCGGTAATTTTGATGATCTGGTAACAATTCGAGCTGCGGTATTTTGTACATTTTTTTTAATAATGGCACTAGATGTTTCTACTAACAAGCTGTTACAGTAGTCAATCCCTGAGAATACCAGAGAACATACAAGTGTAGCAGCTGCTTCCTGTTCAATTAAGTGTCTTATATATGTATGGCCAATGTTCCTGGACTGAAGATAACACTTTCGACAAATTTCTAATGTGACTGTTCATGCTTAAATTGGACCCTAAGGGGACACCTAAGTATTGCATCTCGTACAACCACATCATTTGAACTTGTAGTTTTCAGATGTGTATTTGGACCAAATAAAATACATTCAGATTTACTTAATTCAATTACATTTAATTTCAAGACATTTCTTGTCATCCTATCTTTAATGTCATGTGTACACAATTTGATGTTAGAATAATTAGGGGATGGAACAGTTTTTGAAAGGGAGTAATTTGCAATCAGCTGTATATCACCTGTATAAGAATGTCGTCCTAGAAACCATGATTATCGATTAGTTCGTCCTAAATTCTTAGTATACATTACAGAAACGACAGGTCCAAGGACTGATCCTTGTGGAACTCTTGGATCATCTGTACCGGCCCTACACAGGGCTGCTGGAAGGCGGTTCCATGGAGCATTATCAGGCCTAATAATCCAGGCAATGAATGATTTTATTGGAAAAATGATGTCAGAAATGAAGTCATTTTCTACAAGTTCGACCATCAAATTTAATATGAAAGAAATCCGTGCCAGTCATTTTGTCAAAACCAAATATTAGTATTAGTAGTCCTCAACTTCCATTATTAATTGAATTGCCATCAGCCCCGCAGTGGGTGAGATAAATATAGCATATAGAAAAAACTACGTCTCAAAATAAATTCCTCATAGCCGCAAATGGTTTCCGAAAAATTTAATAGTCATATATATTGAAGTAGTAGACAGATCATTCATAAAAAATAATTTAAAAAAATAAATAATCAATAGGCAATTTATGGGAAATATTTGAATTTAGGCATTATTTTCTTAAAAATGACGGGTTTTTTTTTAACTCTAAAATGGCTATAGCTGGTTCTCCGTAACTACAAGGTTGATGACCCTCATATTTCATGTGGGGTATACGGGGTACCCAATGGTCAAAATCGCCCAAAACAGCTTGTGTCGGTTTTTTTTAAAAATTTTGCATGGTTCTCTCGCGAACTCATTCTTAAAGTTTATAATAAAATTTAATGAGGGTAGATATAAAAATACGATTTGTAAAAGATTTAGCTACGGCTACACAGATGTCTGAAGCTGGTATTACATTGTGTGTGAGATTTAACGATAGAAAAATCGTAGCAGAGCCGTGCTATAGGTTATAAGATCTAGCTGATCAAATTTTGTGGCAATTTTGAATTTTATTTTGTAATGTTTTGCTATATACACATAGCCGTCGCTCTGAATGTAATCTACACTTCCATTTTTACGATTTGATGAGTAATTTTCATCCTTTCTATCAGAGTTTGCTTTGTTTAGTTGTAAATGAAAAGTTTTACATGTCGAATTGAAATGCCTTGGTGCAATCATTCTTATGAAACATTAGCTGGCGCCAGTTGTCATCACCAAGCTTACATCAAACTTATTACCTTCCGTGTAATTATACAGTAAAGGACTTCGACTGACATTATATTTATCATACTTGAAATTGTTACTTTAAACTTTCATGACCAGTTTTGGTTTCTAACTATTGTGAATCTAATACCTCTTATTTTCAAATGTGCCTACCCTGTTATTACACCATACGTTGTATAATACGCAAACAGTTTTTAAATCTGATTTATCCGTTGATTGGTATTTATATCAGTTTTTAATAGGTTCCGTGTAAGTATAGGATAATAAAAGCCAATTCTTTCGATTTATTTATAAAATGATAAAATGTTATTAAAAACTAAACGACGCTCCCATATGAAGTAGAGATTATGCCTACCCGATCAAGGCCTTTAATTAAACGTTTTTCTTTATAATATATATTTCATCAAATGCAATAAAGGTCTTTTGATAGAACGGACATTTGAATTATTAAATATGTTTTTGAAAATTCTGCTATTTATCTAAAGTAGGGACTAGACTGAGGTCTAGCTTATCACTAAAGATCACTGGAATATGTTTGATTTTATTTAGATTTTTTTTTAATTTTTTTTAAAGACAAATGAATGGGAAATTATAGAAGCCCAATAGGGCCTAAATATGTTCAGTAAATTATTAGTGTTCCACGACAAGGTAAAGGGGAATAACTCCATTACAAGTAACCGGATGTTCTTAAATGGCGCCATGTGAGAAAAAAGTAAACAAGAATGGCAGAGTTAAGTCCCAAATTTGTATCACAGAAAATAAGTAAAATTAGATGGAGGCCAGTACAGAAACAATCTTTAAAGGCAGCAGAATATTTCGTTACAGGCAGTTGGGATGATGATGTAGGTTCACAATAATTATACACCAGAGGTGCCATGGTTTCATGAGTATTGATTGAAATTGTATGAGTTGGGTCGAAAATAAAATTCTTCATTTTGGATTTTATGTCGTTAATCGTCGTTATGTATTGTGGGCTTAACCTGACAATCTATGAATATGCAATAAATAGATTGGAAATACATTATACTTTATAGACATAATCTTATACATCACATAAATTCTACATAAACACAGAAGTAATACATTCATACAAACTGTATGGTATCCCTAATTATGTACACACCCATAAAAGATTAATACAAAATCTAAATAACAAATCATCAATAATGACATTTTAAAAGTATTTTTTTATTCAGGCAATAAGCACTTCTCCTTTCGGAACTCTGAATGTAATATTCTGTTGTTGGAAATTTGGTATCACGTCATTTGGGACTCACGTCATTTGGGACTCAACATAAACAACATTTGGGACTCAGTTGACGACGTTTGGGACTTGATTGGCGTCAATTGGGACTCAACACAAACGACATTTGGGACTCAATATAAACGACAGTTGGGACTATTTATTTATGAGATATATAGTAACAGCGGGTGCAGGCTGTTTCGTAACCTGGCTGTTTCGTACTTAGTTCATTCGTACCTCACTTCGTACCTCAAATTGATTCTTACCTATTCCTATGTTGTTGAAATCAGTTGAAAGAAATTGAATATGCCGAACCAGAATTAGAATATGCACGAGATTTGTACCTCAAATTTATTAGTTCCTTCTCCTAAATCCAAAGGCTGCGCTAAATTTATAAAAATGGCTGCCGAACGAGAATTAGAATAAACACGTGATTTGTACCTCAAATTGTTGTTGAAATGAATTGAACGAAATTAAAATAAATCTATATGTTGTTGAAAAAAATTGAAATAAACGACTATACCTGCCTTCCTTTAAATCTGATGTTGATTATCGAACCCATTCTGCTCAGTGAGTTGTGATTATTGACGACAGTTGATTGGTGATTGTTAAAGCAGTTTAAAAAACGAATGAAAAAGTATTTAATCCGGGGTTGATTATTGAACCCATTCTTTTATATCATGGACTGTATATACGGTCATATCACAGAGTAATTCTGTTATTGAAACCCAACTGCATGAAAATGGCTTTCGATCGTAACCGATGTAAATTTAGTGAAATGCTGAAGCAATTTTAGTATAAATGTATCCTTTAATTGTGTGTGAATTACTACTATTGGGCAGGCTGTGTAATATAAATTTAGAGTAGCCGTTGGATTTGATCAAATCGTTTCACCTTTATTTCAATTTCTTTTAACTGATTTCAACAACATAGGAAAAGGTATGAATCAATTTGAGGTACGAAGTGAAGTACGAAACGGCTCATGTGAGGTACGAATGAACTAAGTACGAAACAACCAGGTTACGAAACAGCTGACATCCAGTAACAGCTGTCTTAGTTGTCTTTCGTTTTATTTAGTTGATCGGCGATTGTTGAGACCGCGATTAACATTGCTAGTTCTCCTTTGTTTTGTTTTATCTGCGAGTATAAAACTTCTCCTTTGTTTTGTTTTATCTGCGAGTATAAAACTTGACTATAATATATTGTAGAAAATTTGTGTATATTTAGTAATACTTCGTTGTTTTTCTTTTATCAAATAGTAAACGAGCTTGATTGACCGACCACTACTAATGTATTTTCGTGAAACGGTATAAACAACAATCAACACACGGCTGCCATTCTCGATGATTGACAACTCACGTTTTTCCTCATCCACCAAAGAACCGTTAGGTTTCTTTGAACATACTGCAATAACATTGGAATTATCATTTAATCAACTTTAATTATTGCGCTTTGATCGTTTCCATTTCTTATATTTTCCACAAAAAAACTTTGCCGTGTACGCACTAATTTATCGATTGGTATTGCCATCTACGACAAGCATGTCAACGTGCAGCTCACGGATTATCGTTAACAATTTCTAGGGGCTTGTAAAAAAGATTGCATATCGTGTAAATATTTATTTTGTTTTTTGTGTAGGTCATTTTCAAATAAATTCATCAGCATATTATTCGTTTTAAATAAATATATAACTTTTATGAGAAACGATGATTATCAAAGAACCGTAAGTGCAACTAATGTTTTATCGTTTGGTTCAGCCTTTTACTAACCACGTGTTTCATGTTAATAAATATTTTCTTTTGTGTTTTGAATTGGCCTTTTTCTAATAAATTATCCCGAGTTGCAAACGTCGTATACCCGAGTCCCAAGCGACGTATACCAAAGTCCCAAACGTCGTATACCCGAGTCCCAAATGTCGTGGTCATATTTTTTTGAGTCCCAAATGACGCGAGTCCCAAATGACATGAAATCGGAAATTTGACTTTGGTCATTCTCGTCAGTCACTGCTTACCGACTGATCCAAGACGAATGGTACAATGTATGTTCAGGAATAATAATGCACTAAAATACCATAATTCTATGCCATGGCTGAATGAATATCTCTTAATAAATTTATATTAATATAGTTGAGACAAAGTTAATAATTTAAAACTTTTTTTTCTGTCAGATGATTTTAATGATTGTTTATTGTTGTTCATTAAAGATTTTTTGATTTACAGAAAAATAAAGTTTGTTTTTGGAGATTAGATCAGTCACCTGTAAAAGAAGAAATAGCTCTGGCAGATAATCAATATGGTGAATTAGAACCACAGAAAGTTTGTGAGATAGATCAAGATGGTGACGTGACAGATTTATGTGTATGAGTTTATTTTACTTACAATACATACCGCAAAATGAAAAATTTGCATTGAGGAGAAATAAAAAACGAATGTGTAAAGATTTACGAATAATGTGTGAATACTATCCAGTAATGTTTATATTGTTATATATTAGCAATTGTTAATTGTTTAGCTGACTGTGTAATTAATTATTTTTCGCCTACGTTGATTGTAGAATGTAGATATACATTGATGTCACTTGCGTCTATTGTCTGTCAGTCTGTTCACTTTATCTTGTGAACATCTTGTTGGCTGAGAAAGTTCATCAGGAGTTTTCGGTGTTGTTCCCCATTGCCAGTGGTGCAGGACAGAAGGCCCTACAAGGGAAACATATAGTCATTCTGGCTGAACAAAAAACCGAGGTCCCATGTAGACATTGGTGTGCACATAAAAGAACCCTTGACAGTTGGAATTCGAAATAAGAGTAGACTGTAGCGCTGCTGCCCGGACAAAACTTCACTCATTCCATTTGCTTTTTTGATTTGGTGCCAGTGATTTTATATTTTAATTAGATTAGACGATTTTGCTGATGGGCATACATGTATAATATTTATATTTTAGTATGTGTCTATGGAAAATTTGGTATCTACATCGTCAACAGGCTCCGTATATTTATATAGACAAAATAGTCAGGTGAGATTGCCTTTTACATCCAGTCTGCATAATATTATAACATGTTACTTAAACCTTTTAATATATTTGATTCTGTACGCAAATTGGTTCAGTTCCCTGTACATTGTTTTCATTAGCCTAGTTGGCGTAAAAAGTAGTATGTTATACCTTACTTCATTTATAACATTTAATAGGTAAATTCCTTTAATCAGTAAACCATATGTTAGTCCCAAAGTGACCTAGTTTGTGTCGAGTGGACGTTGAACCCCATTTCTCTCTCTCCCCCTTTAATCAGTATAAATCAAAACAGTATGCTACTAGTTCCCAATGATGCCACTGGGAAAGCATTTTAATCCACATGGCTTCAGACTTTAATCTAGAAGGGTCACCATTCACCACCTTCTTTGTTTATTTTCATTTATAACAATTAAATGCTTGATGCGTCATCTAGCACCATAGAAATCCATTGCAAAATACAATATTGTGAAAGTTTAATCTCCAAAAATGGTTCAATTCTGTTCAGTATTTACAGAGCTATGATAATCTGATTTGCCTAGTTTTAATCCAATTGAATCAAAGCAGGGAGCTTATCTAGCATTGGTATTTTACTTTCTTAATAAAATGTTAAATAATCGAACCGAGTCAGATTTAGAGTGTATTATTAAGCCAAAAGAAATATGATATTTTTTTATAAGTATAAAACTTATTCCCAATCTTTATGTGTGTTGCTGTAATAATAAAGATATATTAAATGTTTTGTATTTTAGGGTATAGATATGATTAATAGTTGGGATAGATTACATGAGTTTAATGGTCAGTCAACACCTTGTACATGTGTTAGTAGTAGAGGTGATGATATGATAGTTACAGGTGGTGAAGATGGTAGATTAGCTATATTAAACATAACACAAACAAAACCTGTTAGAATAATAGGTAAGATACTAAATGGTATTTATGTCTTTGTTATTGTGCTAAAAAAATTATACTCACTCTCCAAGGAATTTTAAGATTTAAATAAATTATATCAGTTCAGTCGTCATCCAAAAATATTCATTTATGCTTACATTGAAATGTGGGGGTAACGGTGGCATGGTTTCCCCTTGTCAGTGATGCAGGATGGAAAGCCTGAAAGGACAGCTGTCTAGTCGTTCGGATGGGACAAAAACAAAGAAGGTCTCATGTACACATTTGTGTGCATGTAAAAGATCCCATGACAGTTGGAATTCGATAGAAGAGTAGGCCATAGTGCTGCTGTCCAGACAATGTTTCCCTCATAGCACACTGTATGGCGTACGCCCATCTTCATTAGTCCAATTCGGAGCAGAACATTAGGACGTTCAATCCCATTTCATTTCATATCATTTTCTTTTCACATTGAAATGTCCATGACTAGAGGCTAGCTTGATATTTATACACATCATCTATATTCATGAAACCTATTGATTTTCAATTGTAATGATATTACCATGCAATGAGTCTGTGTTTTGTTGGATGACATTTAATTTATATTGGATTTTTTAAATAAAAATCTTTTGGCCTCTGCTCACTTTGAAAACTAAATTTATAAGAAATGGGTTATCTAGTAAATTGTATTGTTTGTTCTAGAAAAAGCAGACAGTTGTACGGTAAACAGTGTTACATTCCTAACCCAGTCAGAAATACTTACTGTTAATTCTTTTGGTCAACTGAAGATATTTGACATACGTGTAGATACAGAGGAACCTACCAAAATATTGTCAGTGTAAGTTATACATTTAGCCATTACATTTCCTTCTGGTGTATTTGTATTGAAAACTATTAAATCCTGCTTAAAGGCATATACCTGTAGACATATTGGCAGTGTACATGGTTTGTGTTAATTATTTTAACTTATAACTACATGTATTTCTACTGTGACTTTGCTAAAGGCTACTAGAACGTCTAACCAATTAGGCTTATTGTCCTTCTCGTAATTTAAGATTAAGTGATAAGAATCTACTAATGGTACCTTCAACAAAATCAAATAATGCTGATCCTACCTTCGCCGTTGCTCCCATTATTTGTAACTCTTTACCACAAAGTGTGAAAAACTGGCAATGTATAATCATTTTTAAAGAAAATTAAAAACAGAACTATTCTGACAATCACTCTGTTAATGACTCAGACATTTGTAATTTTTGCCATTGAGCAGCCATTTGGTTGAAATTCCAGTGCTATATAAATCAATTATTATTTGAGAGTCTTTTCAGATGGCTACCTTAGCCATATTCTTTTCAATGGCACGATATATCGTTGAATCGATGTAGTGCGATACACGTTCTCACGATTCGCGTATTAAATCGTGAGACACTGAATCGATGTTTTAATTATCCATGTCACACATTATCCATAGTTAGACAAACACTCTTAAATTGTTTTGGTTCTTATTTTGATCCACATCAATATTGTGATATAGAACAGTTTTATTTCTACGACATCGGCAGGACTAAAAATATTAATTATTCATTTATCCTGTTGTTTTCTTGGTAAATATTGACTGAATTCTATTGTAGCACCTGAATTGCAATACTTATCATATTGTGACTGCAGTGGCAATACCCAGCACTAATAGATGAATCTTTAGGTATCTAATAAGATTAAGAATGGAAGCTAGAGATTGTAAGTGTGTGTAGGTAGATATAGAATATTCTTCATCATTTAAATAACAACAACTTGTGTTTATGTTACAGTAATGAAGATAACACACCATTACACTGTGTTGATAAACATCCTGGTCAACCACATATAGTAGCTACAGGGGGACAGGATGGTATGTTAACTATATGGGATGTTCGTAAAGACAGATTTCCGATGACTTTATTAGAAGCTCATAGTGCTGCCAGTAAGTTTACTGTTTCAATCTAATATGCCTATATTCTACATGTATGTCAGTAGTCCTAATAAACTGACAAAATTATGTTGTTGGCTGAAGCAGCAGTTAGTTAATGATGCATTACACTGAAGCCATAGTGATTTTTATGCACCCACATATATATATACTGCCCTTGTCACAAATCCCTTGTAAATGCTCTGCTCGTCAGAGTTTTTTCAGACAAAGAAATTTCAAATTTTCTGAAATGATCTGGCTAGTCCTAAGGAGGAACCCCTTTGAAATTCAGATAATAAAGAAATGTTTTAGCAATGAATACTTGGTCATATATTATTATTTTTTTCTGAATTATATTGAGTTATATGGGTCTTTTTTAATCCTGACAGTGTGGGAGGTAAAGTTTCACCCATCTAATCCGGATCATTTATTTACCTGTTCTGAAGACGGATCATTATGGCACTGGGATGGTTCTGCTATGGGTATTACTCAAGGTTCTTTATTAACAGGTCATGGTAAGTGAACTACATCCAAGACCAAAAGGCAAATATTGACTTTCAATAAATGTTGACTTTCCTTACCCAAAAAATCATACTGGTCCAAAATTTGTATTAACATCAAGCAACAATGGCCATTTCAAGCCACTTTCTTCTATTGCTTTCAGGGTGCTTGGGTGGTTTAATGCATGCATGTTGAATCAGAAGGTCTATTATTGAGTCCAGTGGTGTGGTTTTGATTCACCGCTTGTAGGTGACCAGGAGTAGGGTCGTCTGTCCAACCTTGTAGGTTTCCTCCGGTTTCCATCCACTCTTAAAGACCCCTATGAGCAAGCGAATTATTGAAATAAAATTGAACCATGTTAGTCCCAAAAAGACTATCACTATCATTATTGTTAATGAAACTCCTGATGTGAATATTGTGCTTGAACCATGTTAGTCCCAAAAAGACTATCACTATCATTATTGTTAATGAAACTCCTGATGTGAATATTGTGCTCCTAATGGTATCTAAGCTTGGTGGTATTTTCCTTGTTTTTAATCTAAGGCATTATCTAAAGAATATTTTTCACCTCTTTAATTTGTTACATTTAAAATTAGGAAAATGATTATTGGCCATAATACACATTTAGGCTTTTAGATATACTCATTGAAATCTACTATCATTATATTCTCCAATTATTTATTAATTATACGTTATATTTCAGGATTAGGAGGTTCTCAGTTTTCATCAACTCATCATCAAACAGATAAAATATCTAGTGAATCGAGTCCGTGGATTTCTATAGAATCATCTCGTCATAAGTTAGAGATCAACTCATTATTACCTAATAAATCTCTCCCAGTGAATTCCCTAGACATACAAAACTATACACTATTATGTGGGACTGATAGTGAAACGATTTATACTGTACCATTACCTAATCTACGATAAAATGAACATTACATGTATATTAGTAAAAGCCCAGCTCAGCTTTGCTGAGGCCTGCAACATCAGAACTATACATTATTATGTGGGACTAATAGTGAAACTGTTTATACCTACCATTACCTAATGTTCAATAAAATAAGCAATAAATCCTATGTCAACTTTATCATGGTCTACAATGTCAGAACAAAACCTGGTGTCAAATGTTAGTGAATCTAAACTTTTGAATATACATGTACTAGATGGGGTCATTGGAATATGATATGGAATTAATCTCATCATTTTCGACTCCTATATAATTTGGTCTGCGACTGATGTGATTAATCAGGTTTTGTTTATGTAAGAATTCAATAGAATTGGCCTTACTATGACCTTATAGTCAGGGTACCAACAAGAAAATATATTCAAAAACACACTTTTATGGATAACAATTACTATGGTTTATTTCACTGCGACGTTTCAACAAGGTTTCACAAGTCGTTATGGTACACTGTGCATGGTTTCAATATTTGTTAATCTTGGTTAATCTTCTGTTTCATCTTTCAATTGTACAATAAGTCAATTCTAATATATACGATTATGCACCTTTGTTACATCAATAGCTTGTTATAGCCAATCATGCTCACTCACCTTGCATTCCATTGGATAGTTCGCACTGATGTTTGTATATATATATATTCATATCTTTCTCATTTTTTATCTATTTGTGTATAAGCTTGATAACGACTTGTGAAACCTTGTTGAAATGTCGCAGTGAAATAAACCATAGTAATTGTTATCCATAAAAGTGTGTTTTTGATTATGTTCCAATTACTAAATGCCATTCAAAGAATATAAGAAAATATATTACATATTTTGATATCTATAGCTTATATACATCTATCTATTCAACAAAATCAACGCTTTCTTTCTGTGCTGTTCCCCCGGGATAGTAACTTCAAACATTATCAATAATGTAGTAAGAAGAATTTAAAATCATGATTATTATTCATGTGTGTTTCTGGTGGATTAGATAATTCACACATATATGTAATGTTTGAATTATTTGTTTAGATTGGATTTCAGGGTTTTCATAAAAGTTGACCATGGTTTTTAAAAGACAACTTAATCTGAAGAAATAGTAACTACTTATAAATTTTGTGGATTGGTGATCAAACAGGAATGCTTAAACAGATGGTCTTTGTTATAAATCATATGTAATTGATAATATAAAACGACAATTAGTTTATTTCTATATCGTGCTGTCGTGGTTGAAGAAAGTGGATCAAAACTTTGTAAAAATAACGTAACATTTAATATGTTGTATAAAATTACATTTTTTAACAAAGGAAATCTCATTGATTATGGAAATTTAGATGGTAGCCTGAGTAGAGCTGGCTGGGGCAGAGTTGTCTAATGTATGTGGGGGAGGGGGGGAATGGCCGAATGGTTAGCGCTTGCATGCTGTATCATAAGGTCTGTCATTTAGTCAACTAGTGTGGTTTCAATTTCCCGGTTGTACGTGACAAGGATTAGGGTCGCCTGGGTTTTCTCCAGGTCCTCCGGTTTCCTCCCACTGTGGAGTCGGCATTAAACCCCATTTCTCTCCCTCTCTCTATAATGTATGTGCTGTAGATTATAAGGCCTGTTATCTATGCAAGTCATGGATTTGATCATAGGTTTGCACATGTCTAGGAATGCCTAACCTTGTGTGTTTTCTCTAGTTTCCTCACACTTCTGAAGACTCCAACACACAAGCTAATTATTGAAATAAAGATAGCCATGCAAAGCATGGAAATACGCCACGTAGCAGCTTTATCTATATACCCATATACAGCAGCTTATCTGAAATGAAAACTTGGATGTCGACCAAATCGGAAAACAAATCCATTAAAAACTGGAGCCTCTATACACTGTAACCCACGTATCATTTAATCTTGTGTATCTAGCACTAATTTCTTTCACATTCGTTTAATATCCAATCTTTGTTTAAAAATTTGTAAAAACTGTTTAAAATCACCATAAATCGTTTAATTTGTACTTTTGTCCAGTTTAAAGCTGACCATTCAATTTTGATAATGAGTGTCCAATTTACAAGTGTTTAATTTCTCAATCACTGTTAAAAAAATAAACAACCCAATTGATTAATGATGTATAATGATTAATTTTTGAACAGTGGTTGTGACACTATCCTGTGTCGCTGTACCAAAAAGGAATTAGCTGTGACACTATGGGAAGAGATGATCGTCTAGGACCTGCTTGTACTTCACGTTGTTGGATCAATTTTTTCAATCATCAATTAATTGACTCTGGAACACCGTTTATGTTGTTACTAAGTTTATCTAACGAATACAGCAAACTACAAAGGTTACATACATGAAACTACAATATCTATGATAGTTACTTTTTGAGTTATTAAATTATCCACGGTCTGAGTTTAATATCCTTTCTAACTCAGACCTAACGGCTTAAACGTGGCAAGAGCTACATACTTCTTGATAGCTCTACATAACGTTCGTGCTAGGATGATGTGTTCACCCTAGCCTCTAAGCCGAGGAGGCTATAGGTATGTTCCCCTTGATCTCCGAATGATTGTCTGAAATAAATCAAACCCGCTCTATAATATATAGAAGTATAATGCAGCAGCTATTAGGGCGGGACAATTACCATTTTTGGGTAAGTGTTTCATATAGGCACCTTTAACGTCAACATTATTCTAGTTAATTGTACTAATCCGTGCACGAGAGGACTGGACTACAGTACCCTACTTTCCAGAAATGGATACTGACATAACTGGGGGTGAGTTAGTCTAAGTCTAGACTAAGTTAGTAGTAGGATAATGCAAGCTACTTCATTACCCTAGTTTTCGTCACACATGTAGGTAAAGATTTCTATATTAAACAGAACACTTTTCTTAGACCTAAAATAACCCTATAAATACTTGTAAATTGAACACTCATTATCAAAATTAATCAGTCAGCTTTAAACTGGACACAAGAGAAATTAAACACTTGTAAATTGGACATAATTCAGGAAGTTACGATCCGATATGCGCGAATATCGAAAGAAACCAAGATCTTTGGGTTATAAACTTACACTTCAAGTTTCATCAAAATCAGAAGAAAATTGTCACCTCTATATAGCGGGTCCACAACCTTGATATACCATATTTTTACGCTATTTGAGTACGAGGGGCGAAATTCGAACTCAACCACCCTTAGGGTGTAAAGGTGATATATTAAAACGTTTTTTAAATCGAACAATAATTGTGACCTCAAGCTAAAAACGCGATTTTTCGTACAATCTGGGGTCATAATTTAGGAAGTTATGATCCGATATGAGCGAATATAGAAAGGGACCAAGATCTTTAAGTTATAAACTTATATTTCAAGTTTCATCAAAATCAGAAGAAAATTGTGACCTCTAGAGGGACCACAACTTCCGTATACCATATTTTTACGCTATTTGAGTACGAGGGGTGGCCATTTTGTCTGTCAGTTTCGGTCCGATTTTTATGAAATTCGAATTCAACCATCTTTAGGGTGTAACGGTGATATATTCAAACGGTTCTTGAAATCGGATAAAAATTATAACATCTATGGGGTCCACAAGCTAAAAAGACGATTTTCCGTACAATCAGGGGCCAAAATTCGGGAAGTTACGGTCCGATGTGCTCGGATCTTTGGGTTTTAAACTTACATTTCAAGTTTCATCAAAATCAGAAGAAAATTGTGACCTCTATAGGGCCCACAAGCTAAAAACGCGATTTTTCATACAATCAGGGGTCATAATCCATGAAGTTACAGTCCGATACATACCAATATCGAAAGGAACCGAGATCTTAGGTAGATAAACCTATATTTCAAGTTTCGTTGAAATCGGATAAGAATTGTGACCTGTAGAGTGTCCACAAACAATTGTGGACGGACAGGGGCGACGACAAATATATGTCCACCTGAAAATATGGGCGTATAAAAAGGCGTTTTTTCGTATCATCAGGGGCCATAATTCAGGAAGTTACGATCCGATATGCGCAAATATCGAAAGGATTCAAGATCTTTGGGTTATAAACATGAATTTCAAGTTTCATCAAAATAGGATTAAAATTGTGACCTCGACAGGGTCCACAACCTTGATATACCATATTTTTACATTAATCGTGTACAAGCGGTGGCCATTTTGTCCGGCAATTTTGGTTCTATTTTCCCGAAATTCGAACTCAACCTTCATTACGGTGTAACAGTGATATAATCCGATATGCGCAAATATCGAAAGGATTCAAGATCTTTGGGTTATAAACATGAATTTCAAGTTTCATCAAAATAGGATTAAAATTGTGACCTCGACAGGGTCCACAACCTTGATATACCATATTTTTACATTAATCGTGTACAAGCGGTGGCCATTTTGTCCGGCAATTTTGGTCCTATTTTCCCGAAATTCGAACTCAACCTTCATTACGGTGTAACAGTGATATAATCCGATATGCGCAAATATCGAAAGGATTCAAGATCTTTGGGTTAAAAACATGAATTTCAAGTTTCATAAAATAGGATTAAAATTGTGACCTCGACAGGGTCCACAACCTTGATATACCATATTTTTACATTAATCGTGTACAAGCGGTGGCCATTTTGTCCGGCAATTTTGGTCCTATTTTCCCGAAATTCGAACTCAACCTTCATTACGGTGTAACAGTGATATAATCAAACGGGTTTTTTTTTAAATTGGATAATAATTGTGACCTCCAGAGGGACCACAGACTAAAAAAGGCGATTTTCCGTACAATCAGGGGTCATAATTCAGGAAGTTACGATCCGATATGCGCAAATATCGAAAGGAACCAAGATTTGGTTATAAACATGCCTTTCAAGTTTCATCAAAATCGGTTTAAAATTGTGACCTCTATAGGGTCCACAAGCTAAAAACGTGATTTTTCGTACAATCTGAACCCATAATCCATGAAGTTTCGATCTGATACATGCCAATATCGAAAGCAACCGAGATATTTTGGAGATAAACCTATATTTCAAGTTTCGTCAAAATCGGATAAGAATTGTGACGACAATAAGACATCCACGTGAAAATGTGGGCGTATAAAAACTGTACAGGATAGCCTCTTTCAAGTTCACAAGGTTTTCGATAAAGGAGTTAACACAAGAACAGAACGTCGCAGACAATTCTTTTCTGGCATGAATTTTCTCAACTCATCGAGGATACTGATTTATAAGCTTTTTTTGTGCGAAAAGAGTGGAACGAGAATTCTGTTTTGTTAGTTGTTGTGTATTGCCTTCTGGCAGTGACAATTCACCTGTCCCTTAGGAAACAAAAATTTTATTTTGAAAGGCCTGTCGACACGAGAGGGAGAGGCGTACGTAACTAACGTTCAAAAACTAAATCAGTAAATGGCAACTAGCTTTTTTTTCCTTCTCCGCAGGCTGTGTGTCTCTGATTTTCAGAATGAGGGAGAGGGTGTGTCTATGGTGCTTAGGCACCCGTGCACCTCTGTGGAATATGGTGCCCCCTAAAATGTGTGTGCCTCCTGAGAAAGTCTATGTTTTATGCATAAGGTTGTATGCTCTGGAATATAGTGCTAGTCAAAATGGTGTGTGCCTTAATTCTGAGGAACATTGTTTTTCTATTCAGCTCCAAATACCCCCCAGAAATTACCATTGACACCAGCAATTTTGCTATGGGGGAGCCCCCCCCCCCCCAATATCCCCACGTGCTCTCCCTCCCTATTGCCACCCCCTAATCAAACATTTGGTCTTCAAACAACTAGATATTATGAAACTATATTGGCAAGGCAACATGAAAATGGGAATATTTATTTCGTGATATATTATATCGAAATGTAAAAATATTGATTTTCTTGACGATAATATGGATAAGACTGTTGTATTTCTTATTACAATGTTAAACGCCCGAATGTGGCCAGTATGCTGATTTTATATATCAAGGGATATAACTCCTACCGGAATCGTCACCTGGGGCTAAAATGGAAAGGTAAACGTAAACACACACACAAACAGAATTAATCGTGCTAAATTAAATCATATTTTAATTCTTTTGTCATTTTTGTTGTGAAATTATTATGTCTACCCACAGTCTTTCTATTCTATATTTTTATTAGATGGTAATTGTGGTGAAAAGACGATTTGAAATTCCAATTTGAAATGACAATAGAAATGACAATTTATATAAATAGACCTACTTACCCGCTGACTCATGCTATACGAAAGTAATAGGCCTACTCCTAGACTGTTCATATCAAAGGAGTTGCAAATCGTAATATAAACTGAGCAATAAACATTTCTGAAAAGCTCACCATTGACCATTGAGCTCTCATTGCTGATATATATAGTCCCATTTAATAAAAACATGAATTTATCCATAAATCCTTGGAAAAGTCAACCAAAACATCCTAATCCTGAGTCATAGTAGTGATCACTATAGACAAAAAGAAATCCAAGCTCCAAACATTCCCTGATGCTCTAAAATGCATCAGACGCATTCCAGACAATCAATTTCCATATGATGAGATTATGTCAGTGATTAAAGAAAAATTGTCAAAAACGTTACCTTTTCATGAGAAAATGGGTCTCATGGGAGTGTGTAAAAGACTAATATTCTGCATGAGGCTTATTTGTATCGATTTGCCAAGAACTGACAGAGAACTTTGATTCTTGTAACGATATGTTACAGCTGAAAACTTATGTAGTTCCCAAACTACAATTGGCGCGTTTGATATGTGTGCCGTAAAGAGTAGACCTACATGTAAGGGCTTACCACCAATTAACGCACAAAGTGGTTTTGTTTTTATTATATTGCAAGTAAAAAATTAATGTAATGAAAGCAGCTTACTTAGCTTGATTAGCTTATATCTTCCTTTTGGTATAATTGATTTGTATTGTGTTGACAGACATTCAATCCAATTTCAACATAACAATGTCCCTTTAAATGTAGAACATACAGATAAAAATAAAATATTAATTTTGTTAAAAAAAGATGCATTCTATTTTATCTGTTTTCTAGATGTACAATGAGTTAGTATGAACTGTGACTATGGCAGCGGGTGTATTCCATGTGGAGTTTGGTATCAATGATACACAGTTAACAAGAGCTTTAGAACAGGGCAATTATGCCAGTGCTGAAAGATTTATATTAGATAATTCTCAACCATCGTACCTTGATGAAGGTATGTAGATCTATTTTTTTTATTGTTGCCCTACACTATAGAAATTAGAACACCTTTATCTTTGTTTTTGTTCTAAATATAGTTATTTTATATATACTATTCAAAAAAAGTAGGGGATATTTGATTTTGGGGGCATAATACTAAAATATGCAAATGACTACGAAAAAAGTCACTATAGAACCTAACAGAAGAAACATTTCCAGTTACATGTGACGCCCAAACGCACCAATAGCTACCGCATGGAATGCAGGTGATGCTTGGGATCATCATGGGGGTCCAACCCAAGATTTGCACGACTCTGACTTTGAATGTTACAGTCATTGTGGCATTGAATTCCAGGGTGGAAACATCAGTTTAATTATTTTAGTGACCAGAAAACAAATTTTGATATGCGTCGGCTTACCCAAACTGAAAGGTTACGTGCCCTTGGCATGCTACAGATCGGCACAACACAGGCGGTTGTGGCGCGGACGATGAATGTTTCTCAGTCTGTCATAAGCAGGCTATGGTCCAGATACCGTGATACACAATCTGTACAGGACAGACCACGCTCAGGTCGACCAAGGGCGACAACTCAAGCCCAGGATCGATTTATCCGTACCTTGGCCTTGAGAAATCGTGTCATCACAGCAAATCAGATCAGCGCTAGTCTTCAAACAGACACTGGTGTGAGAGTGAGTGGCCAGACGATTCGGAATCGACTGCATAGGGGTCACATTCGCGCCCGACGTCCTCGCGTGATCCCTTGTTTGAGAGATCATCACATTCAGGCAAGACGTCGTTGGTGTAGGGATCGTCAACACTGGGATAATCGACGCTGGAGCAATGTGATGTTTTCAGATGAGTCAAGGTTCACTGTTGATTTTTTGGACAGACGTAGGAGGGTGTGGCGTCGTCGAAACGAGCGCTTCCAAGACGTTAACGTCATCAGACATGATCGATTTGGGGGTGGTTCTGTTATGGTGTGGGGAGGCATCACTGTTGCTGGAAGAACGGCTTTACATGTTGTTGCAGGGCGTGTTACAGGCCAGTACTACCGGGACAACATCTTGGCAGTCCATGTTGTGCCGTTCGCACGACGTCATGGCCGCCGTTTCATCTTCCAGGATGACAACGCAAGATGTCACAGGGCCAGGATCGTTACAGGTTACCTCCAACAACAGAACATCACCACATTACCTTGGCCAGGACTGAGTCCCGACCTCTCCCCCATCGAGCATGTCTGGGACATGCTTGGACAGAGGTTACGTCAACGTCAACAACGTCCTGCCAATGTCCAAGAACTTGCTGCTGCGTTGCAACAGGAATGGGACAATCTGGACCAAAATGACCTTAGACGTCTCATTAGGAGTATGCCACGTCGGATCAATGCTTGTTTGGCAAACAGAGGAGGATTTACCCGTTACTGACTTGGTTGTGATGCTGTGGTAACTTTGCTGTTTGACCCCGGGTATCATTTTACCCTTATAATGGTCAGTCTGTGCCTTACTTAGTCTAACGATCATTTGGAATAAATCGATGAATGTGAACTTCATTTCATTTTGTCATTTGTTTCTTCGTCAGTTTCATTAGGTGACTTTAATAACACTTAAAAATCAAATATCCCCTACTTTTTTTGAATAGTATAATAGGATGTTATCAGAGAACCTCTCTTCTCTATATTTGGTTATATTTTATAAATGTTATTTTATTGTATGTTATAGGATGTTATCAGAGAACACCTCTTTATATTTGTTTATGTGGTGTAGATGAGGATGCTGAAAGAGTGACATGTCGTAATTTATACCTGGCTAAACTAATGATAGAAAGAGGAGCTGATGTCAATTATAGAGTGCCTGTTGTAAGTCAGTTTTATACGAGTTCGTTCCACATTTCTTAATAATAAATTATCACAGAAAACAAAATCCCTTTCCAAACTTAACTTAAATTTTGCATTCTTTAAACTATATTTTTACTAGATAATGGATACAGTGCGTAGGTCGCTATATAACGTCCTGGACAACTGCCACTCACTGTGTGTAGGTCGTAATATAACGCCTTGAAGGTATTTTCCCTAACCTATTCTTAGAACATAGTACATAGTTCTTCGTCAATTCGTCAAATTAATTACACAATAGGGGGTAGTTAACGTTTTAAAAACGTCACACTTAACGGGTTAAACTTGTGTACAATGTATGTAGGATAAATTTAAGTGAATAAATGATATGAGACCCAATAAATTTCACAAAGGTCATGGTGCCTATTCATTGTAGATTCATTGTGTTAGTCTTTCATACAGTATACTCACATTTTCCTATGAGTTTAGAATTTCCTTTATGATATTGACCATGTCTTTGGGGTGCTTCTTCTAAGGTATTTGCCATTTTTTTGATGAAGTGATTGATAATGGTCGTACACAACTCTTTGGATTATTTTATTTGCAAAATAAAGTCTGATTTCTGAAATAGATATTATAGGTAAAATTAATTATATTTATGATATGTTCGTTAAAAAAGTATTAACATTAGTGTTACTTTGCTCTTATTTTTTGAAAAAATTTTCACAAGTTGTTTTCCTTTATTTTGTTAATGTAGAATGGTAATGAACTGCTCTTTTCATTTTCTTTGTTTTATTTGTTTCGTTTGAATTTGATTTATCTGTTTAGTTTTTGATTGTTTAATTTTTGTTAATGAAGTTGATTCTTTTAAACTTTGTTTTTTATTTTTGAACTCTACTTGGTGTAGGTGTTCATCAGGTAATACCTCGACTTAGTTCAATATAGAGATTAGCCGGTTGATTTGTTGGATATAAACCTTTGAATAATAGCGCCTAACAGGCAGCTGTGTTTAATTGTGTTTAATTATGTTCTCCTGATTTTGATTGTTTCTGTGTGTTTGAAGTATATGTTTGTGATATGCGCTTAGAAACACTTCACGTGTAATGAAGCGCTATATAAATCGAACAATAATAATAATACAAAATCTCTAGTTGAAGTTCTCCTTCAATACTCGATGGTGCACTGATCACCCAACCAACTCACCCTCTGACCTATAGTTTACCACTGGTAACAGTTCTGAAAGAGCTCATATTTGTCTTTGAATCGTTGGATGTTTTAAGTGCAGGATTAATTGTAATTATGAAACTGTTATCTTTGTTTTCAGACTTTTTATGGTTGTGAATTTTTAGGACCTGGTAAAACCTGTTTAGAGTTGTTGGTTGATTTTTACAATGAAATAACAAGAAGTGATGAGCAAGATTCAACAGATATATGGTAGGTTGACATTTTAAAGTAATAAAATATGAACAAGATACTAAATCTTTGATGTTAAATACCTTGTGATGTCATTGTTTCCCCCCAATTTGGTAAAAAAAAAATGAATAATTTTCATAAATTGCCTAAATATACATTTCTATTTAATTAAGAAACAAAAACAAGTGCTTATGGATAGCTCATTCAAAGGATGTATTTTTAAAATAGAGTAAAAATCAAATGATATTGCACTTATTTACATAGATATACAACTACTTCCAGTTCTTTATTGTGAACAGATTGCAATATTGGAGTTTGTGGTCTAAGGGGAGACAATAGTGGTATTGAGAAGAGTTATCTCCCTTCCATATTTGTGGATTTCACCTTTGTGAATTTTGTTGATTTATCTATGTACATAGGCGTAGCAGCCGCAGCCAAAAATTAATTTTCGGGCAATGAAAAATTTGACGACCTTTTTTTTCTATTAACATTTAGAGAAAAAATATAACTAACTTATTTCTATGAAATCCACACTGCCCGAAAAGTATTTTCTCGTCTTTTTCTTGTCCACTGCATGCCTGAAAATATGCCCGAAGCTCTCTTATGATAGGTATGCCCGACAAAACGGTATTGCCCGAAAATAGGTATTGCCCGAAAAACGGGCATCGGGCCGGAAAACGGCAGAGGAAATGACCCAAATGGAAAACTGCTAGGAAACAGCCAGTTGCCAGGGTGGATTCGCCCGTTTTCGGTGGTGCGGCAGTGACCAAAACACTATATCAACTGATATAGTGACCTTGCCTGACTACTTGGGAAACTGGACGAAATTGTGGACATTTTTGCTGGACGTCATGGCCGTGCCTCTCACTTTTTCTAAAAAGACTATTGGACTACTTGAGAAACTGTACGAAATTGTGAACATTCTGCTGGAAGCAGTATGGACGTCCCTCTCATATTTTTAAAATGTTTTACTTTTGTTCCTGAGTCCTGATTTGTACAATCAATCTGGTACTGGTGAGACGATTATCTCTGAATATCAAAATATTGTTTAATTAACCTAATACCTAGTGTTAGAATTATATTGATTTATATTATATTATATTGATTATATATAATCAATATAATATACTATATATATACTATCATATTGATTTCGATATATATACTCTATTGATTATATTATATTGATTTGGGGCAATTTTCTCTTATGCCCCCCTGAATTACTTTGAGCTCCTACGCCTATGTCTATGTATTCATAACAAAACACAACACAAGGTATATATGGATATAACTACTTCTCTATTATTTAATAACGACGTTTCGTAACACATACAGGTCACGTTTTCAAGTTAATGATAAATATCCATCTAGTCAGCCTATTTATACATATTAAAGCTTACACCAGCTTAATTACAAAAACCAAAAGAAACCATTAACATCATTAGCAGTACCTAAACTAACAATACATAATACAAACAGTAATAATGAAACTAACTGCCATAATAGAGAAGTAGTTACATCCATATATACCTTGTGTTGTGTTTTGTTATGAATAGTTAACCGTGCTTCTAGATGTCATTTAAAGATTTTATCTATGTATGTTTATCTTATATACACATAGCTTAAAATATTCACCATAATTATGAACAGCCAATCCAGTTCATTTATTTGCTGTGTTTTGTTCATTAAATTGAGTTTGAAATCTATATTTTGCAGGCCGAATGTTAACAGTGCATGGGATCCATCTCTTGAGCGTGTGATAGGATTAAATAGACAATATTTAACCACATTAACAGATGTTTTAGATAATATTGAACAATTACTCTTCATCATGCTTGGTAAGTTGGATATTATACAGAACAATTATTCTTAAATTCCTTAAGCACTTTGAAAAGATTTGCTACAATGGTTATAATCCGTGTAATTAACATTTTCTTGTGTAAACAAATTTTCCCCATATTGCCCACACCAATCAGTGTTTGGAAATGAAATGGGTTTAACAGTGTTTGGAACACCATTGATAATTCTTTACTTGTCTCTAATGAAGAAATAATGTCTTGACTGCAGTAGAATAAAATCTACCTCAATTTAGGAGCTTAATCACTGTTCATAGTAAAAGTTCCACCCTCGCTGAGTTTGTGTAGTTGCAAAATGGATACAAAGCTCAACTTTGGTGGAATGGAATGTTACTGAGTGACAATTTTTAATGTAACAGATATTCAATCTAACTTTGATTGTTCCACAATCAGCACATCAAGAGAATATCTCTAAGTTTTTTGTTCTGAAATTGCTCAATCATCTTTTATTATTTTTTGTATAAAGGTAATGGTGCTGATCCTAATGTTAGAGATGACAATCGAATGATGCCTTTACATCGAACGACTATGATTAGTCATAATGAACGTTTGTTAAGTTTATTGTATGACAATGGCGCCGATATAAATGGTTTAGATTGTCATGGTAACACACCAATGTTGTCATTATGTGATGTATCTATGTCAGATGTTTTTGATTATCTAACCGATGTATCACCAACTAGTGATAGTACCATAGATGAAGCATGTGATCATATAGCTGTTAAACCTGACATGCTCAGTTTTCTACTTTCTAAAAATGATGTCAAGGTAAGTTTAAACGGTATGCCAGGGAAAAAAAGAGTAACAAAGCAAAATGCTTGTGTTCTGTATGATTTTAAAATGATATTTCATTTGACAAATACAATTAAACTTGTCTGATACTAGTTTGAAAACCAGTCAAATGTCAGCATTTGTGCAGATTTAACATTTGTTATAACAGCAAAAAATAACTCTATAATAAAGAAAAACAGTAAGGCATAACATTTAACTGAATGTGTAACGTAAATTAACTATTGATATGAGGCAGATTGATATAATGTTAAAAGAGATTGAAATAACATTGTGATGATATAATGTTAGTTTATTGAATAGTGCTTGAATAATGATTTATTTAGTACTTCTTTAAAATGTTGTGATGTACAGAATCAATAACTAACACTCAACTGAAGATTTTAAGAATATGTAAATATATTACCTTTAAGATGGTTCAATACCATTATGAAATTGAAGAAAACTCATTAACTTTGGGATGACGTGTGCTTTGATGCACATACTACTACAAAAATGTGATTTATATTTCTATGATTAAATACCTTTTTTTATACGCCCACATTGAAATGTGGTCGTATATTGTCGTCGCCCCCGTCTGTCACTCTGTCCATCGGTCCGGCGTCCACAATTGCTTGTGGACGCTCTAGAGGCTCAAGTTAATATCCGATTGACTTCAAATTTATACACAGTGTTTAAGGTCATGAGACGAAGAAGCCTATTGATTTTCAGCGATTTCCGATAATTACTGCCAGAGTTATGGCCCTTGATCTCTTCAAAAAATCTTGTGGACGCTCTAGAGGTCAGAGTTAATATCTGATTGACTTTAAATTTATACACAGTGTTTAAGGTCATGAGACGAAGAAGCCTATTGATTTTCAGCAATTTCCGATAATTACTGCCAGAGTTATGGCCCTTGATCACTTTGAAAAATCTTGTGGACGCTCTAGAGGCTAAAGTTAATATCCGATTGAGTTTAAATTTATACACAGTGTTTAAGGCCATGAGACGAAGAAGTTTATTCATTTTCAGCGATTTTCGATAATTACTGCCAGAGTTATGGCCCTTGATCACTTTGAAAAATCTTGTGGACGCTCTAGAGGCTAAAGTTAATATCTGATTGAGTTTAAATTTATACACAGTGTTTAAGGTCATGAGACGAAGAAGTTTATTCATTTTCAGGAATTTTCGATAATTACTGCCAGAGTTATGGCCCTTGATCACTTTGAAAAAATCTTGTAAAGGCTCTAGAGGCTAAAGTTAATATCCGATTGAGTTTAAATTTATACACAGTGTTAAAGGTCATGAGACGAAGATTTTCGATAATTACTGCCAGAGTTATGGCCCTTGATCACTTCAAAAATTCTTCTAAAAATCTTTAAATTGATACCGAGTGTTTGAGGTCATTAGACGAAGAATCATATTGATTTTCAACGATTTACGATAATTACTGCCAAAGTTATGGCCCTTGATCACTTTTGAAAACATTGTGACCCTCTAGAAGCTAAAGTTATCATCCGATTGACTTCAGATTCATACACAGAGTTTAAGGTCTTGAGACAAACAAGTATATTGATTTGAAATGAATTTTTATGACTTGAACAGCTAAATCCATGATGTTAAAAGTTTCCTATACTAAACGTTAGCATGGGGCAAAACTTTATAAAAACCAAACCAATTCTAATGGTTTTCTGATAATTACTTAATGAGTTGTTACTCTTAATCAGATTTTAATGTATTATAAATGTTTCATTACCGAAAAAGTAAAAATATGTGACAATTCTTGTTGACTGCCCGGACGATTTAGCTGCTGTGGGCGTATGTTTCGTTGCCTGGCAACCTATCTTTAATATTAATATGCATAATTCAATAAGGTAATCCTTCATATTTTGTATTTTTTGCAGATCAATGTTCAGAATCATCTTGGTCAGACAGCTTTATTTCACTGTGTATTAAGAGGTGATGTTGATAGTTGTTCAAAATTGTTATTACAAGGTGCTGATCCATCTCTCAGGGGTGTTGTTTGGGAAAGTAGAAAACGCAAAAAGTAAGTTATCTTATCTTAACTATAATAAGTGTATTATAATAATGATTACTATATTTACCACCTCACTAAAGCTGTTAGCTTTAATATTTGGTTCAATATGGTTCTCAACAGATTAATAGTGAAACCTATCAGTCAACAAAATTGGGGGAGTTCCTACAATGCTTAGTTATATCAGTGGACCCTAACAACAGCGTTATAGAGAAACCCCAAAGTAGATTATTTCATGAGTTATTAAATCAGGAGACAATTAAAATAATTTATTAGCTTGTAATGTGACCTGGATTATTTGCATTTTTTACTTCATTTCACCAGGAAGTTTGGAATTATAAAGTTATTTATTGATGCTTTCATTTATTATTGATCTATGAATCAACAAGATAGAATTAATAATTATCTATTAAGTTCTTTATCTAGTATTTTAAAATTAAATCTTAATTTTTCATTTCAGGAAACTGTCTCCTTTATTTGCCTCATTTTTGTCGATACCTATCCAGCGAACTCTAGGTTGGCAGAACATGCACCATAAATTAATTCTTGCTCCGCAGAGATTCGCACATCTTGTAGATGCAGGTATTGTACATCTTAACTTACATTGAATTATGTGAGATATTAGAAATTATATTTGAAACTGAATTGATTAAAACTGATTTACCTAATTAAAATAATATCTGATCACCTGACTTCTCCTTCTGACTTTGCTACTGAAAATTATTCATATTTTGTTCTGTGTCAATGTATGAGTTATTATAATTGTCTTTTTTTAATTAAAATTAGTATAAATTCTTGGTTAAAAGTCATGGTCAACTGTCTCAGATAGTTTCAATTAATAATTTTTAAGACATGCATGTGTAAAACATCTTATCCATCAGAACAGGCATAAATAATAATATGGTTATGCACTTACTGTAGTAGCAGCAACTGACAACTGAATTATTCATTGAGCAGAAAATTATATGATCAGTTTTATAACTAGTTTCTTTGATCTTCTATGCCATTTTGTTTCACAGAGGATTACGAAAGTCTTCTTATATTTCTGTAAAAGATGACTGCCTTCAACACGTGACGTTACATCACACGGGCGTCAATCATTGGCTCAATGGCACGTTTGGCTCAATGGCACGTGCATTGTTTACATAAGACATTACTGGTTCAGTCAGAATGGTGCCTTTTACTCATTTTAATACCCATTTACACTAAATTGGAAATAATTTTTACCTACAAATACTTCAAAGGTCTTTTTTTAATTTTCTAATACATAAAAAAAAATGTTTTGAATTTAATTTGTCAGAGGAAAAAAGTTAATATTTATGGCTCATTAAGACTCATAAAGTCACTACCATTACTGATAAGGATGACATCGATGCAACTGTCGCATCAATGTGATCCTTATCAATGATGGTAGCGGCCTAGTGAATATTCACTGCTGATCGGTGTCCTCCTATGTATTAAAAATAATAACTTGTTGATTTCTTTTCGACCTACTTAATATCAATCTTAACATTTGACACCAATTTTGATTTCGTTGACATCCACAAATTTACAAACAGAACTCATTATTACTTCTATTTTTCTGAATGTTTTATTTTCATGGTTGTCAGGCTTATTCACAAAGAAAGAAATTGCACAAGAATTGCAGGAATATATTGAAACAGATTTTCCTGAGTTTATGGAACTTCGACCAATAGCAGGGGCATTAATCCACTTACTGTTTGGACGGACAACATCTACACTGAGTCAGTTAGCAACAAGAAACATTTTTCAGCATAGTTTGATAAAGAGTACTGCTTGTTTACAAAGAATTCTACCTGTCTCAACTTTTAAACAAAAGTTTCTTGTTGAAGACTTGAAGCATTTCGATACATATGATGAATATGTTAGTATGGTCTTGAATCGAACTGTTCTTAAAACGTTAATCAGTATGTTACATTTACCGCAAGACTCACTGATTAATTTCCAAGTTGAATTACTTCTACACCAGATGGCTGTTAAATTCTCCAAGTATAAAGTCCTTCGTCCCGATGGTATATTATCAGATCTCAGTGACGAGTCTATTCATTCAGATGATACCGATAGTTCTGAAAGTCCTGATGAAGGAGATTCTGATCTAGAATATTGGTAATCCTTATCAGGCATTTAGCAATTGACATATAATATAATACTAGAATACTGGGTATGGATACAATCACTATGTTTATTACACTGCAATGGTTCAACAAGATTTTACAAGTAGTTTTCAAAGTTTTTCAAAGGTAGCATAGTGATTGTTCAAACATAATGATTATATCCATACCAAGTAATCTAATATTATATTGGTAATCTAGTTATTTTGAGGTAATAATATGTTATGAAATATTGATCTAGTTTTCTTATTGTTTTTTTTATGATAAAATAAATGTGTATCTGTGTTTTGTGATATTTATTGTGTTATATTAAAATTAAAGTATATAATTTCATAAGATATTAAGTGGGTCCCCATAAACCAAACTTACTTCTCCTAGTGCTACTTATTTGAAATATTAAAAGCTAAATTTAAATATCAAAAAGCCAATCGCTTTTTTTGAAAGTAAAGAAAATTTACGCATTTAATTTGAGAAATTAAAAATCGCTAAAACGAATTTAGAGGTATGCATGTACCTCTTTTAGTAGTCGTTAGTTATCCACATAATATAGAATTGTGTTCATCATTTTCATTGTTCATGTTTTATGTATTTGTTATACTAAGAAAAACTTGATAATTTTTTATTCATGTACAGTATTTGTTTTCAAGAAAGAACTGACTGAGGTATTTTGTAATAGTAAATATATATTAATTTTTGTATATTTGTTTTTAGAATGGTTTATTATTGATATGTTTACTTAATTGTGTAATTTATATCAAACATATCTTTATATAGCTCGATCTTAGGACAATTATAAATTGTTCTTTATGTATATATCATAATAACATCATTAGAGTGCTAGTGTCAAAATAAACAATAAACCATATTATTTTATATTATAAATACCTATATCATTACCGGTATACATATTTTGTTATTTCATCATTCCCAGGTTGTGAAATAAGAACTTAAAAAGTGTGTACATGGTCTCATTTTGTTGAAATTCTGAATGTTATTCAATTGATTTCTTTTTGATGTTTTTACGATATATTTAATTAGTTTGTTAAAAGTGTCTGTGAGACGGAACATATAAGTTCAGTTGCCAATTTTCAGTCAAAATTCATCTTTTCATTGAATTTCATTTTCTATAATACATGTAGTGCCTTTACGTTGTAAACTATTCGGTGCATATTCTGATATTGTATATTTTCTGTATCAGAAATTTATGATTTTATTGATGTACTTATAATTTAGTGCAATGATGGTATGTATTTCAGAACTACATTTTAAGATCAAAATACATGTGCTTTATATTTGTCATGTGATATATTGAATTTATTATATAGCTTAATTTTCTTTGTATACATTTTTCTTGAAGACTATTAGTGTGATTTTCTTACAGTACCATTTGTTTTATATTCTCGTCTTCAAATGTCCTTCTGTGGAACATTTATTTATTTGAATAAATATTTAATCAGTTGTTCATTAGTTTTCAGTTCCAATTTCGAACTACATGTACTAGTATTTTAATAATTCCAAATCGCAATATTTTTCCCCATAAAACATTGCCAACAAAATATCTGCAATATCTAAAGTCTGCTTACCAATCTGGCTGCTACATGAATATGGTAAAACCTGTCCTTGCAAAGAATTATTGATTGTAGGCCTAGTATAAAGTGTATTCTATCTGTTTAGAGAGGTTTGACTATACAGCCCAGATAACTCGGCCTTTTATCAAAGGGTCCTCTGAACTCGCATAGAAAAAATTGTGTGTAGGCCATATGAAATAGCTTTAAAAGTCCACTTCAACCCCTTTAAGGATTTTATCTTCGTAGTTACTAGCGACATGTTAAGTGTAACTAGTCGTGTTTGATTGGGACAAATTAATTACTTGTGCCAGCTATATACGCATTAGCATCCATGTTAAAGAAACCTTGACTGCTGGAAGATAGAGGATAAAATGAGGAATTTGAATGTACCACTATAGTCCTAACCTAAATGTCTGCTAAATAAGTGTTTAATAACAATGTAGCCAAATGCATCATTTGTGTCAGGGAAGTATCGGTATTTTAAAAGAAATAAAATTTGTTAGATTGCATATTATGGAATAGTCGTTTGGGACAAACTTGCAAAGGTAAGTGCTAAATAATAAGGCCAGCTCAATTTTTCGGCATAGGTCAGGAGATGTATGTAAGCAGGGCTAGCACTAATCCCAACCCTTATCCTCATCTTGCCAACAATCACATGCCCTAACCTTATTTACATTTCCTTGACCTTGACAAAAATTGAGCTGGCCTTAACAAATAAATTTAGCCAACTTTGCAAAGTTCCCGAATTCATTAATTTCCCCATTGACTTCAAAGTTAATTCTGGCCTCTTTGCCCATCTCCAACTTTTCCCCAAATTTTCGTTGGGATGAATGCTTTTCACTACAGACCGAGGAACAAATGGTCATGTCTTTGCACTAAAATTTGTATGAGGTTGACCACCAAAATTTTGAGACACACAAACTTGAAGAAGCATACTAAAAACATGTAACTATAAGCAGTTGCCGTACATTATTATCACCGTAACCAACCTGATAACTCTGTTATCCCTCCGCCTCAAAATCATAAATATTTACCAAAACCTGGCAGAAAATGTTAATTCAAACCCTCTTCGTCCATTCTAGACCAAAAAATCAACAAAAATGGACATGCAAAAGGGGAGAAAAGATAGACGAACCGAGGTGGTGGAATTTAATGGTGGTCTGCATCCCAATACTTAAATTGGAGTTGCTTCCCATTGATCAATTTGATTACTATTTTTAGAAATCATGCCCTGATGCACAACTACATTCCCAAGATCTTTAAATATTTAATGATGACACTAATAAAATTCATAGACCCTATTTACTTTTCTCAATTTCAGTGGCAGTATACAGTAGTAGTATCGTAGTATTCATACTTTTTCTTGATTCAGAAAATGGGTCATTCAAACTCCGGTGCATCAGAAATCAATACCTGTGGCGGATGTTGTGAATTTTTCTCCCCAAGCTGATCTGGGTGGTTTGTAACGAATAATTTCATTTTAACTATGGTAGGTACTTTTAGAGTGATTTGTAATTTACCGATATACTTTCGTGATCATTATCAACTCTGTGTTTTTGACCTTGCAGTGTTCTGGCGTCTGAAAATTGTGTTAGACTAGATAGTAGATCTTGGCGTATCAATCATTATAATCAATGTCAACTCAATCAATGTGAATGCAATATATATATATATATGTGAATGACATAAAAATTCTAAATTCTTGGCACAGATCTAATAATAAGCCATACTACTAGTAGGGCTACGTCGCACTGATCAGCAGTGAATTTTCGCTAGGCCGCTACAATCACTGATAAGGATGACATCGATGCGACTTAATGAGCCAGAAATATTAACCTTTTTCCTGCGACAAATTAAATTCTAAAACATTTTTTTTATGTATTGGAAAAATAAATAAAGGCGTTTGACGTATTTGCAGGTAAAAATTATTTCCTAGTGTAAATGGGTATTAAAATGACTACTGTCTGAGTTTTGGTAAATTTTAAACTGATTTCTTCGATTATGAACTACTTAACTTTGGTTATTATAAACTTACCTGTGTGTTTGTAATGAACTCCCGTTCGATAAAATCCATTGCACAACTAATTATCACAACGATGAAAACAAGTTCTCTCTTGAAAAATTGAAATATCACAAACTTTTCCCAGAGAAAAATACCAATATGGAAGATGGTTACGTCACTCTGCGGAAGATATCATTTCGTATTAGGGGTGACAGAAATTCAAGTACAATTACGACAAGAATCCATGACCACTCGGACCAAAGACCACTCGGTTCAAGACCAGTCGGACCAACTGATAGACCACTAAGCCCAAACAAATAGACTACTCGGACCATACAAAAAGACTATTCGGACCCAACAGAAAGACGACTCAGACCAATAATAAAGTGTTGTTTTAATAAATTGATAATTGCGTTTGTTTTAATATGATTACTCGAACCAATAATAAAGTGTTATTTTAATAAATTGATAATTGTGTTTATTTTAATATGACTACTCGAACCAATAATAAAGTGTTATTTGAATAAATTGCTAATTGTGTGTGTTTTAATATGACTACTCGAACTAATAATAACGTGTTGTTTGAATAAATTGATAATTGTATTCCAAATCGCAAAATATCGAGAACCACACTTGTAGTCACGTTTAAAAAGGGGCATATAAACGTCCGGTCTTCGTATTATTATGTGCTGTTTATATTAACGCATCAAGGGCGGATAACTTGAAAACGTGTCTCCCCCCCCCCCCCATATATAGTAACCCAGGGGTTAGTGGGGTAGAACGGAATGAAACCACTGGGGATACCGCGAATGTGGAAAAAGTAAAATTAGGCTATCAGACAGGAACAGTATACCCGTATATGTACATACCGAGTCTCATTGCAAGAGTAAAGAAAAATTAGGTTGATATTTTTTTTTGGCACCATTATTAATTAATTTTAAAACAAATCGTTGATTTTTTTTCCGTACTCAAAATTGAACCAAACAACTCTAAATATAATAATTCCGTATAAGAATTATTTGCTTCTTTGTATTGTGATTTAATAATAAATAAATAGCATATTGTCTAGCCTTATAATATAATTTAATTGGTCCGACTGGTCTTGTTTTGGTCCGACTGGTCTTAGTCCGAGTAGTCTTTGGTCCGAGTGGTCTGGATACCTACGACAATTGGCATTGAGTTTGAGCGTTCACACACATAACTACCCGCATTCCTGTATTTAGTTACCGTCTTTTACATTCTAGTAAAATCTCTGCAAATTTTATAGCTTTACTTTTTGAAATATTTTGTTCTAATTATTTGATTAGCGACTCGGATGGGATTATTTACTTTTGAACACGCATGCCGCACAAACACAACTATACATTCGTTTTACGGGCTTTATCACACTTCGGTCAAAACTGTTGAATCGAGAATTAATGTTCCGCTTCTTACGGGGTCATACGGGCTTAGTAGCATTATATACCCACCCGGGCACCCAATAGACACGCTGAGGGCTGCCGCAACACGCTTAAAGATGTTACTGAAGCGGTTATTATTCGATCGAAAGAATGCGTATAAAGTTAAAAATACACTCAGAGAATTCGGAGGTAAGCTTCATGATCCTTGTTAAATTATTTATAACATAAAGAAGATAGGATATTTATAGTTTATACATGACTTTATTTTTACGAGTATCCGTGCAATCAGTGATATTTTAATTGTGAAGAAAATTTGATAGACTGGCGATCAATGGTTTCCATATAAATCTCCTATGTAATTGCCTTCAATTGATATTTTTCGTCGCCCAAACCCATATACGATCAAAATGATCGCGCTGTCAAACTATCTTTCAATGTTAACCAACCCCCGCAACAGGTATATTGGATTCGACCAATACGTCACGAAGACATTGTTGACATCGACTCTGTCGAAATTACAAGTAAATTTTCAAATTTTTCAAGAGAGAACTTGTTCTCATCGTTGTGATAATTAGTTGTGCAATGGATTTTATCGAACGGGAGTTCATTACAAACACACAGGTAAGTTTATAATAAACAAAGTTAAGTAGTTTGTTCATAATCGAAGAAATCCGTTTAAAATTTACGATGGTTCACACAGTAAAAGGCAGCATTCCACCACCCGAAGCAGTAACGTCTTATGTAAACAATGCAAGTGCCATTTAGCCAATGATTGAGTCATTGACGCCGCGTGCTGTTACGGCACGTGTTCAGGCAGTCATCTTTGACAGAAATATTATTAGACTCTTAATTCTCTGTGAAACAGATTGTGTCTACATGTACGTACCACCTTCCAATTCATTTTCTTCCTCATTTTTATTTTCCTTTGGTAAATAACCCTCGGTCTAGTAAAAAAATACCCCTTAGAGATTTGTAACCGAATAGCCTAGTGACAGTGTTGAAACTTGTATCCGAATATTCGTTCACAGATATAATCTCACGGATATTCAGATACTTTAACTATTCATGCTATCCAATGCTTTGTGCTGTTTTGAAACAGCCCCTCTCCTCGCTGCTATCTCATAATATTTAATGAGCAATAATTTCCTGCAAACAAGGCTGGAAACTTATCAACAGATCTGAAGATTTTAGTCTTTCTACCCCATACAACTGTTTTATTACTTTTATATAGTCGTAAGCACAGTTCAAATATTAGATGAATGCCATGACCCATGGCGAGCACCTAGTCGCACACTTTGCCGATGATTAGAGCTGTAGCTATTCAGCATGTTCACGCAAAGTCACATGGTATACACATGTGTGTATGGTCTTTGTTTATTTCATCTGCTAAGTTTAGATAGCCACGACTGGCCAAACTGGCTGAATCTTATCTTAGTATTCCAGCCACCTTGGGACAATCGGAGCGTGTATTTTCCACCATGGGAAATATAGTTACAACCAAAAGATCAAATCTGGATCCTGAAATGGTCGACCATCTTATATTCTTAGTGAGGTTTTAAAAAAATAAAACGCTGTGTTTGAGCCAATAATCAATTATTGTGATAAGAGATGGTGCTACATGTATATATAGTTAGATTATGCCATATGTACATGTAGTCATTGTAGTGTACTGTTAGTGCTAAGCTTATATGAAGAAATAGAATAAAGAATGGTGAAAAAAAAGGTATACAGACTGGCACATTTTTTAAATATTAGAATTGATCTAAATCAGTAAATCGATATCTTATGAAAACAAGTCATGTAGTTCAGAAAAAATTTTGTCCCAAAAGTTTCTGGTGACCAATAATCAATCAATTAGTTGAAATTTCTGGTATATTCAATCGAATGCTTAGTAAACATGGTTTGTTAAATACTTTGTAAACCATATATTTGTTCATAATCTTAAATCTACAATATTTATGTTTTCCAATAAAACCAAATTTATAAGTTAGGTTTAGATTTTCAAAATCACATGAGAGGTTGATATCTTCACTGAATTGCCCTACTACAAGTACTTGTGATCTACCGATATAGTGAACGGAAGGGTATAATTATGTAGTGCGTATTGTTTGTGCTCTATGCCACATCTTGTCAAAACTTTAAACGGTGATAACTTTGCTCAGTAATTTAATGGAATTTTCACTGTATTCATTTTACATCTCTTTGCCCACATTTTCACGTGGACGTATATTGTGGTTGCCCCTGTCCATCCTGACGTCTGTCCACAACACTCTACAGGTCACAATTCTTATTCTGTTTTGATGAAACTTGAATTAATATATAGGTTTATCTCCAAAAGATCTTGATTCCTTTCGATATTGGCATGTATCAGTATCGGATTGAAACTTCATGGATTTTGGCCCCTGATTGTACGAAAAATCGTGTTTTTAGCTTGTGGACACTCTAGAGGTCACAATTACATTGTATCATCCGATTTGGATGAAACTTGAAATGTATTTTTATAACCCAAAGATCTTGGTTCCTTTCGATGTTTGCTAATATCGGACCGCATCTTCCTAGATTATATGGCCCCTGATTTTACGAAAAATCATGTTTTTAGGTTGTGGTCCCTCTAGAGGTCACAATTTTTATCCCATTAAAAAAAAATGTTCATATATATCACTGCTACACCATAATCATGGTGGAGTTCGAATCACGTGAAATTCGGAAAATGACAGACAAAATGGCTCGATCCTTATACGCAAATAGTGTTAAAGTATGTAATTACTAATATCAAGGTTATGGACCCTCTAGAGGTCACAATTTTCATCCGATTATGATGAAACTTAAGATATGTAATGAAAAAGTATATGAAATACCAAGGTTGTTGACCCTCTAGAAGTCACAATTTTGATTGAACTTAAAATAATCCTGAAGATCTCGGTTCCTATAGATATTCATGCATATTGGGATGTAACTTCCTGGATTATAACCCCTGATTGTATGTAAAATTGATTCTTTCTTTGAACTTGTTCTTTGTCTATCTCTTGAAAAATGTGGGCGTATCTTGCATGGCAACCGCTGGTTATTTTAAACATCTTCAGTGTAAATCATTGTATTCCATATTATGAATGTTCACCTGAGTTAGAGTTGTGGCTGGTTGGTCTGAGGCATTTTTATCTATGAATCACAAGTCTCAATATTTTGTTCCACCTTTTTTTGACTGTTTACTCTACTTCATCTTTCTCTTACCTTAAGACTCTAAAATATTTCCTTATTTACAGTGTGGTACAAAATGTTTGAAGAGTTACTGCCCCTGTCATTGAAACCTTGTAAACACTGTACAGGATAGACTTTTTTAAAGATTTCTTTGAAAACATTAGTTAGTCATAAAACGGATTCTGTTTAAAAGGCACAGTCGGCAGTCAGTTTTATACATACATGTAGCTATTTCCCCTGACCTGAAAACTTAACAACCACAAATCAAAATGCAGTTGAGGGTCAGGGGTGGGGGGCATATATTTATGCCTTGGCTGATGGCTCACACCACTGTATGTTTCGTTCAATTACTGAAGACCCAGTTACAATTTAATCAAGATATAGAGATACATGAACCATTCATTATGTATGTTAGTACCAAAAGAACCCAGTTGTGTTGAGCAGACATTAAACCCCATTCCTTTCTCAAGAAAGTGAAGCAAATGATTATGTAATTTGATTGCACTACTCGCATACAAGGAAGATGTGTGTTTAAGAGTTCTACACTGTAATGTCTATTTTGGTACTAAGTGCTACCCGATATGATTGAGCAGACGTCAGTAAATGAGAACATTTCTTCTACATACCTGAAGTGTATATATATTTGGTATCGCCAACAAGTTGCTAAACTTAGTTGAATCATTGGCTAGGTGAGATTGTGATAAGAAGTTTGTTGTGGTTGGAAATAGACAGGAATTGGTGTGAGAGGAATTCAATTTTTTTTTCCCTAGTAAGATCTTAATAAAAGTAAGTTATCAAGTTATTAAACATTTATTGAAAATAAGAATAACATTACAATGAAAATAAGAAAAGGGTTTTAGTAATTACAATGTTAACCTAAAATGATGTTTGAACAGAAATTAATATAAAATTTATCAAAATACTGAATACATTTAAAATGTCGGTCAAAAGTTGTAGGGTATTTTAGTATAGCTGTATACATAATACATAGTAATAAGTTTATTATTTGAAAATAGAGATATATTGAATGAAGAGATAACCTACCAGTATATTTAATCAAATAAATGTAGAAGACATGAATAAAACATGATTTTAGATAATAATGATAAAGATTATATTGATTTTTAACATGATGAAATAAATACTATTCTAACTTGTTACATTATTTTGGAAAGTATCTATTGTACATACTGTTTTATTCAATCTCAAAATAAACAATCTCAGGAAAATTTATTTTTGGTACTTGCACATGTGTCATTAATATTTGTACCAATGAGTATAAAGTACAGTCACTCTTCACTACTGAAAACTTGATTGTTACACAGGGAGGAAGTGCAGCAATGCATAATTAACCTCTTTCTCTTGATTTTTAAAAATCCATGTCAAATTTGTTCTCTATCTAGATGTTTGTAGCTATACTCGTTTTAATAATATTGTTCTTTCTAATCCTGTATATATCTTATAGATTGACTAATTTTTTAAAATGTGCTTAGAAAGTTATGACAGATTTCAATATCCCGATATACATGTAAATGTATAGTCCATCAACATAAATCAAAGAATAATTATTTTGTCAAGCTTAAAGCCCTATAAAGTGCTGATGCCTTTTTTAACCTGAAAAGTTTAAGCTAAACCCTTGGGCTTTTTTTATATAAAAACTACACTTTCTTCTACCAGATATATTTGTGGTTTGATTCTACATATGCAAAATTTAACTGGCAGTTCAGTTCTGAAAACAATTTTCAGTCAGAAGAGATTAATGTTAAATAAATATAGAGATTGGAGATATGAAATTAGAATAACATTTTAGGAATTGGGCTAAAGTTAACTGACAGTTTGTAGAACAAATTGTGTAGGTGTTAACCAGATAGAACTGGTTCTTGGAGATAAAAACAAACTCAGATGTAAACAGTTTTACAAGATGTAGGTGTCAAAATTAGACAGGTAGCTGGTTATGAGCACTGGTGGGTTTTAATTAGGTCATAAAGGTAGGTGTAGCAACTAATGAAATTTTTGAATCAAGGAAATTGGAGATTAATTTTTTGAAGATTTTATATTACTTTTTGGTTTTAAAAGTTCTGAAGGTTGTAGGGTTGGTTTGTTTTTATTTGTACAAGAAAATCAATGTTAATTGCAATACATGTATCTAGTACAAGCTTACATAAGGTCAAGGTAATACATGTACCTAACCTAGTACATGTACTTAACAGTGAAAAATCTCTTTAGTTTTTGAGGTGAAGTGAATATTAAAGACACAGCTAGCCAGATTGTTCACATACATTTTAAAAGTTAAAACATGTGTACTATATTAATATAATAACTTTTGTTATTGTGTAATTTTAAGCACATCTGAGTATAAAAAAACCTTTATGTAGATTGTACGAAAAAGATAGGAGAATTATAACTTTATTTATTTAAGACCCAATTAATAGATGGCAATCAATAGAAACTATTTAAATCAACATCAGATGAAAATGGTCGATTTGAATAATTTTTCCACCAGATTATTTTTAAGAATAAAACTATTTTTGGTTATGTAATGTTTTAAACATTATATTTAACCTTTATTCTGGCATGTTTGGGCTTAAAGATGATATGAAAATATGAGGGAAATATTCCAACTGTCAAGATTTCTTTTACGTGCATGCCAACGTGTACATGGAACCTTGTTTTTTTTTATCCCATCCAAACTACTACAGGCTGTTCTGAACAAGGGAAGACTTATCAGAAAATTGAGATTTGAACTTTCTCGGTCCACACCAGAATCGAACACGGTCCCTCCAGGTTAGCGAGCCAGCACCTGGTAATATTTCCATTAAATGAAAATTACTCACCGATTTATTATTTTGTTTATGTACATGTATTATTAAACATACCTTATGCAAGAACTAAATCTGCCTATTGCAGGTCTTTCATTTATCTAAATTATTAATTAGACATTAATTAACTTATCCAGACCATATTCAACTCTCGTTGCCATTGCTAGCCTGTAATATTTAGCGAATTGGAATATATTATTTTTTAAAAAATAATTAAACATAAAAATGGATAATCGAGACTTTGTTTTTTATCATACCGACTTTAGTAATGATGATCGAGGCTAGTCTAAAATTCAAAAGCTAATATCTTGGTTCAGAGTGGAGCAATTTGACTGAAATTTCATTCTCATGTATTATTAAAATATTAAAGGAATTTAACAATATAACTTTTATTTTCTTCGGTAATCAATTTCTGAAATGTAATGTATGTTTATACAAGTATTACAAGCCTTGCTAATGAAAGAAAGAGATAATGATCTGGAATCTGAAAAGATAGTAACATTACATATATAATTTACTGATTCTATTAGATTTGCCATTATGATGGACAGTATTAGGGTACCTAACTTCAATAAATCTGAAATGAAATGAAATGGGGTTTAACGTCCTACTGTTCTGCTCCTAAACTGGGCTAATGAATACGGGCATACGCCATACAGTGTGCTATGAGGGAAATTTTGCCCGGGTAGCGGCGCTTCAATAAATCTAAAATCTACATTGTGTATTTATAAATTCTATTAGATAGCTATAAAATGAATCATCTGTAAGAAACTCATCTGGTAATAACCTTTACTTTATGAAATGTTTAGCTGTGTTACTACTACTATTAGTAGGCATTTTCCAAATATGAGTGGGCTAAGGGTATATTATATTTAAATGTCTAGAATTCTTTGAGTTTGGTAAAAAAAAAAAAAAAAAAAAAGGAATATGATAAAAGTGTTAATTTAATTAAGTCTGAGTTTCTTTATGAGATTTGTATTTGTAGCTTCACAGATAACAATCAAGGATAAGATGAGCCGATCTTGCCTTCCCCTAGCTGTTGACAGTTTCAGCCAAAAATGAAACTAGAAGTAGTTAGCAAACAGGCTTTCACTTCTTAATATTCTGAAACTAAAATTTGATTGTAAACTGAACACTTTTTTTTTAACATAAATCAAAAGGGTTTAGCTCATTTTATCCACATAATACCATCAGAAAATAAATGTTAAGTGGAAAATTGATAATGTAGAAATACACTTCATTTACTTTAATTAAAGAAAAATATAACAAAAATATAGTTTGGTCTACAGCAAGCATTATGAACTTCATGTTGTGATCTTACCTGGAACAGACGGGCTTCTGATATCCAATATTGAAGACAAAATAAACATTTTACCATTGGTACACGATTCGTGTACCATAATACATTTCAGCGCCATTTGTTACAAGGGACTAGAAGAACAAGGCTAGACATATTCCATAAGCCATGTCAAACGGTGACGCCATATTCTTATCTGGAGAACATGCACAATAAATACTATAAGTGTATACTGGAATAACCAGACGCTAGAGATTACCATTCGATTGAGACTTCTGGTGTATTTCAACGAACATAACTGATTTAAAATTGGAGTAAAAACAGAAAAGATTGAATGAAAATCGGTTTATATATTCATATTACATTATTATTAGATAAAGATAAACGAGAAAAATAAAAAAATCCCGTGCATTCCCCTCTTTTTATACGCCCACATTGAAATGTGGTCGTATATTGTTGTCCCCCCCGTCCGTCCGTCCGTCCGTCCGTGGACGCTCTAGAGGCTAAAGTTAATATCCGATTGACTTTAAATTTATATACAGTGTTTAAGGCCATGAGACGAAGAAGCCTATTGATTTTCAGCGATTTCCGATAATTACTGCCAGAGTTATGGCCCTTGATCACTTCAAAAAATCTTGTGGACACTCTAGAGGCCAAAGTTAATATCCGATTGACTTTAAATTTATACACAGTGCTTAAGGTCATGAGATGAAGAAGCCTACTGATTTTCAGCAATTTCTGATAATTACTGCCAGAGTTATGGCTCTTGATCACTTCAAAAAATCTTGTGGACTCTCTAGAGGCCAAAGTTATTATATCCTATTGACTTTAAATTTATACACAGTGCTTAAGGTCATGAGACGAAGAATCCTATTGATTTTCAGCAATTTACGATAATCACTGCCAGAGTTATGGCCCTTGATCACTTTGAAAAATCTTGTGGACGCTCTAGAGTCTAAAGTTAATATCCGATTGACTTTAAATTTTATACACAGTGTTTAAGGTCATGAGACGAAGAAGTCTATTCATTTTCAGTGATTTTCGATAATTACTGCCAGAGTTATGGCCCTTGATCACTTCAAAAAACCTTGTGGATGCTCTAAAGGCTAAAGTTAATATCTGATTGACTTTAAATTTATACACAGTGTTTGAGGTCACGAGACGAAGAATCCTATTGATTTTCAAAGATTTCTGATAATTACTGCCAAAGTTATGGCCCTTGATCACTTTGAAAAATCTTGTGGACGCTCTAGAGGCCAAAGTTAATATCCGATTGACTTCAGATTGATACACAGAGTTTAAGATCTTGAGACGAACAAGCATATTGATTTTCAATGAATTTTTATGACTTGGAACAGCTAAATCCATGATACAGTATTAAAAGTTTTGTATACAAAACGTTAGCATGGGGCAGAACTTTATAAAAACCAAACAAATTCTAATGGTTTTCTGAGTTGTTGCTCTTAATCAGATTTTAGTGTATTATAAATGTTTCATTACCGAAAAAAGTAAAAATATGCGACAACTCTTGTTGACTGCCCGGACAATTTAGCTGCTGTAGGCGTATGTTTCGTTGCCTGGCAACCTATCTTTATTCATTCTGTTCTTAATAAAAACATGGCAATGCACAGACTTTTTCTAATTTGTTCGTTATCTTTTATCTAATGACAGCCAATTCTTTTTTTGAATTGTCAGATATCCTCTCACCGTCCCATATAATAACTTTTCAACTTCAACGGAATTATCAGTGAAATGAAATTAGATCAATGGTCTGTTATAGCTCGTTACATCAGTCAGATACATAGAAGGATAACTCGTGTTTGTCATGTTTGTCGTCACTTCCCGTTTTTTCATGTGCTTGTTACACATCTCGCGTAGCAATGATCTCTGTGTTAAAGTTATATTTGGGATGTATTTAACCAGTTCTATCACATATTTTATAATGACTGACACCAATATTGTCCTTTAATAACATTGTTCAACAATTGTCAGTCAAATCAAAATAGGTCACAAATCTCTGTATAAAACAATTTCCAATCATTCTTATTTCATTAATATAAATATAATGGCCAAACTTTTGATGATAGAGTATTTAGACTCGTTTGTAATTTACTATTAAGAAAATGTTTTCATTGATAGTTGTGAGGTTTTTGTAAGAGATTGTTTCTGTGTTAATGATGTAGGCAAGGTGATATGCATATAAATACTTGACAAGTTTGCTTTGTAAACTACTGTTATAAGGTTAACAACATGTATATTGTGGTATAAAAGAGCTAACAAGGATATTATAATCTAGGCTACTATTATCATTATAGATATATAGGTCTATATAACTTCTATTGGCCATTAGCCAACATGTTGTCATTGGAGTGTTTTGTTTGGTTTCGAATTTATTGAATTGGTCTATGTCATAAGTTGGTATTAAGAAGTGAACTGTACCTCTCCCTTGTTTTATTAATATAGAATCTCACTTTTTTTAGATAATTTGGTTGCAATAACTAATCTCCTGCAATATAATGTCTTTTGGTAAGTATATATATATCTCTATAAGCTTATATAAGTATAATCTGGATTATTTGTAGAATTAAAGTGTGTTTGCCTAATAGGATTAAAACTTGTGTGTCATTTATATATATTTTCTACAAATGGTTGCTTGTGTCAAGTGGTTACAATAATATAGTTTTAAAAGATTATAATGGCCATTGATGTAAATAATTCATGTTCATATTGCCAATATTTTTTTTTAATTATTAGTCAAGGGAGTTTGCCCAGGGGTAATTTATGTAACAAATAAAGAGATTTTCTTTACATTTTCAACTTCTCGAAAATCAATAACGTTAGTTAACCAAATTTCATATTCAGCTACTAGAGGTGGTGAGGATTTAGTTAATATGAAGAATTTCCACACCTCAAGCAAAGAGAAGGGACCCTTGAACATGTAAAAATTAATTATTGTTATTAAGCTTTGTTCATAATAGTGGGGAGGGTGGGGGCTAGTGTGATCTTAAGGGCATATAAACATAAATCATAATATTTGGAAGTTGGCTATGCCTTTTTATGAGTGATTAAACTACCAAATAGGCTTTTTTACTAATTTTACTGTGTCGACTATGGAACTCTGGCTTTATTTGTAGGTGTCAACAGATTGCGAAATGAAATGAAATGAAATGGAGTTTAACGTCCTACTGTTCTGCTCCTAACCTGGGCTAATGAAGACGGGCATACGCCATACAGTGTGCTATGAGGGAAATTTTGCCCTGACAGCGGCACTACGGCCTACTCTTATATCGAATTCCAACTGCCAAGGGATCTTTTACGTGCACGCCAATGTGTACACGGGACCTCGGTTTTTCGTCCCATCCGAACGACTAGACAGCTTTCCTTGTCAGCCCCTCCGTCCTGCATCACTGACAAGGGAGAACCACGCCGGAAAATCTGGATGAACTTTCTCGGCCAATGCAGGGATCGAACACCCGACCTCCAGGCTAGCGAGCTAGCGTCTTACCCACTTAGATTGCTATCCTGCAAACAAATTAAAAAAATTAAACCCCATTCCATTTGACTTTCCTTTTGTCAAAAATGTAAAAAGAAATTCCTGACATTATCATTAATATTATATGATTTACTTTCTGTACTATATATAAACATTTGGCTAAGCCACTGAATAATAATTATGTAAGCTTTTAACTTCCTAATATAAAATTGTCTGCTGTTTGTTTTTTACATTCTCTTTCTCAAAATCAATTAGATTTAAGTAAATTTCTTGATCAGATAAGTAATCAGTTGATATGAATGTGCCAAAATGTATTTCAAATAATTCCAATTATCTGAATAAGTTTCTTTAGTAAATAATGGAAAAAGGGATAAAAAATATTTAGTGTTAGTTTATTACTAGTCTTTCTTTTACTAGTTTTAGTATCAGAAAACCTTTCATAATAATCCATTATATTATATTTAGCATCATGTATTTATACATCAACATGTAGTACCCCAATCACCAGCTTGCTAACCAGCTTGCTAAAACAATGATTAATTTAACAATTAGACTTCATATATATCACCGTCTTCATTAGCCCAGGTTAGGAGCAGAACAGTAGGACGTTAAACCCCATTTCATTTCATTTCATTTCATATATATCATCTGCATTTTAAAAGTTATGTAGTGATTTTAAAATATCATTGATTTATATAACATTTAGGGGGTTGGATGGCCGAATGGTTAGTATGTGCACGCTGTATCATAAGGTCTGTCATTGAGTCAACTGGCGTGGTTTCAATTCCCTGGTTGTACGTGACAAGGAGTAGGGTCGTCTGTCCAGCCTCATGGGTTTTCTTCGGGTCCTCTGGTTTCCTCCCTCTGCTAAATGCCCCTACGCACAAGTGAATCATTGAAATAAAATTGAACCATGTGTTAGTCCCGAAATGACCTAGTTGTGTTGAGTGGATGTTAAACCCCATTTCTCTCTATACATGTATATATATAACATTTGTGTGTCTACTAGATCTGTTCTGTCCAACCTTATGTATCAGTTTTACCATACTTACATACCCTTTCAAAAACATCTGGTACCACTTCTCCTTTGAGATTTTCTCTTGAGATTAGTCGATTGTTATTTGGTTTGCTCAATTACCGGTAGTATAGATTGATTGTGTTTAATGTTGGTTGGTTATTATGGGTTGATTTTATCCATTCTAATCTTTTGGTTAGAGTTGATCCAACCCAATCTTATAGGTTGGGTTGAGATGATCTAATACGATCTTATAAGTTATAGACTGAGTTGAGTTGTTGAGTTGATCCACTCCAATCTTATTGGTTGATTTGAGTTGATCCATTCCAATCTTCTTGGTTGAATTGGGATGATCCATTTCAATCTTATAGGTTCATTTGGGATGATCCATTTCTATCTTATGGATTCAGTTGAGATGATCCGTTTCAATCTTATGTATAATAAGATATACCCACAACATGTTAGCCTCAAAATGGTCTCACTAAATGCTATAAAGGTTACATCAAATGCTGATTTCATTATTTGAATATTCTAAGTCATTATTCGAATGCTGTTACAGCAAATTCGGATATAAATAACTTTTGGTACATTTCAGAAATTGTTAACCTTTCCAATCAATAATGTTTTCTTTATCTAGTGATTGTTTTAAAAATATAGGTTGATACCATTGAAAAATTTCATTACATTTACATCTAGTTTTAATTGATAATCGGGTAATGAATACAATAAAATCAGTTATTGTAAAACTATTTGAACATTATAATATTTTTTGTGCACTAGTAAATGCAAATTATTCTATTTCAAGACACTGGTCATTTTCTGTCTGTAATTTTATTCCACATTAGAGCAATATTGTGTTTATATTTGTTAAAAAGAGCCAGTTATGAACATCCCAGATATGTGCTCCTCAAGGCCGGCTATACTATAATGTGATGTATGTGATCAAACTAAACATTGCCTTACTCATGTTTAAGACCAATAAAGTTTTGAAGAATATATGTAAACAATCCATATCATTTTATTGTAAAAACGGATTCCAATTCTAATATTCTTTTGTCCTACATATGTACATTATGTACATGCATGTAAAGAATGAAACTGTTTATACATGTACCATACACAATGTAATATTCTATGTAATAAAACTTACAAGAATGTTGAGGTGATGGTATCACTTCTGACTCATATTGTGATTGCCAAGACAAACAGTAACTTTCTTTTTAAACAGGTTTCATATCCACTATATGTACTGTGACTGGATTGCTTTCAGCTATCTGGTGTTTGTATTTGTACACAAGTTTAGTTTTAAAGGAAAGTTCATTAAAAAAAAATTTAAACTCCACGATTTGATCACAATCACTTGTAAACAATCTTATCATCTGAATCCACATTTAATTTGGTCATATTGCTGAAATGTCTGTCAACTGGGATTCATTCACAGTTTCTTGTAAATAAGTTCTGAGAAAGTTAATCATGATATTTTTAAAATGAATTTAATCACAGTATAATCGTGAGGATTAAAATCATATTGAAAATCAGTGATTCCTGCAATTATTTTTTTTATTGTCTTTTCCGTGTATTGCTTAAGCGTTCAACATTTGAAACACAGGGCATTGCCTTTTTTCGAGAGAAGTATCCTGTTGTCTTGAGAAAGCATGGTGTGTATTTTGTCTGAAAACAGTTGTTTCAAGTAGAAACTTAGAAAGTATACAAATCAACGGTGAAATATTTGAATTAGGCTTTAAAAACGTTTACTACCGTAGATCCATTGGGAAATCAGTTACTGAGACAGAAGTTCTCAAATTAGATGCCATGGATTCCACCATCTTCAATTAATTAGTACTATTTTGGTGATTTGGTCATCGTTAACGAAAATTATATCGTGGAAATTTTTTTTAACTTTTCGGTACTTTTGGGCTCATAATGATAATGTTTTTCTCGATAGTAATTTTAAATTGTGTGCCTGCTGCATCTGTGTCAATATTTGTCTACCATATACATGTAGGGCTAGCTATATGTTCACATATATTAATATTGTAAAAGTTTTAATTTGTTAATCTATTTTATGGAAATGTAGAGGGCAATAATGTCCAGGTGTGATAAGGAGTGACGTCCATTTATTAATGTCAATAACCTAAACATTCATTGTATTCCATAAATTCGGCTAAATAATTTCTTATTCAGCACAATGATCTATTTGTCCCTTGATATTGAGAGGATCTAAGTCAATTTGCTTGATTTATTTAAGTACAGTAAAGCTATTCAATACATATTTTATGTAAGTAACGTATAGTTATTATCTCATGTATAATAAATGTCAATAAGTATATTAAGTAAAGTACATATAATAAAATAGTGAAAAGGTAGTTACATGGCTATAAAGTAAATTCAAAGGAAACCAGTGTATGGTACAATTGATTTATAGGGAACACATATATAATATCAGAATGACCCCAGCTTTATTTATTTTAAACAGTATTATATTTTTTTCCGTCCTTTTCAATTAGACCACCCTTAAAACCTGTTTTTACCAGACAATAAAATTATTCTAAAGGATGGGAGAAATTAAAACTGTTAATGAATTTTTTACATTTTTTTTCAGTTTGATAGGCTTAATTAATAAAACTTAACAACGTGCTCTTATTTGTTAGCCATAAATTTGAAAACACATATATACAATGTACATCAATAGCAAAAAAGGCTAGAGGGTGTTTGAAAATAGTGGAGGAATGGCTGATTTTTTAAAATACATTAATAAACTTAAGCTTATAGAACTGAGGATAACAGCCCCTAAAAAAATATATCTTTATTTCCATAAAATAAATGACAAATAGGTCATGGTGACTGAAAAATTACATCCAAAGTAGTAATTATGATTATTTTATCAGAATTTCCCAAATTATCGTGGATCAAATCATTTGAAATGATTTTAATGTGTTCACATCAAAGAACATGCTTATAATGACGTAGCTGCTGATCAGTATTCCATCATCATTTGAGGGATTTTAATATCTTAGCAAATTATAATATTGTGTATGTTGAATCTCTAAATGGAATATGATGGATTGAAAATTTGTGATCCTGTGCAGAGGGTATAAACCATTCAGTGACATTTTATAAAATGTTGGGTAAAATCTTTTCATTGACCTATTTTTAATCCAATTGAATCTACTGTTGATATTTTTTTTTTCTTAATTAAACATTAAAGTTGAATAATCAGTTTTAGTACATTTTAGTATCGATTTAGCTGTGAATTATTAAACATTGTCCGAAAAATGCACAGTTGAGATTAATACCATAAATCATTCTATTTTAACCAACATGTGGCACTATTCTTTAAAATATCACTGTTTTATAGACCTAGTTTCATAAATTGTATTTGTCTTTAGATGTGAAGTGGTAGTGAATGCTGAATTACAATGTTGTAAAGTTGATTAATTGTAGTAAAGACACAACAGCTAAACAACTAGCAGACTATCCTTAAAATGTTTCCACGGAAAAGTGTTTTTATTTCCAAGAAGGAATCACATTTGATGTCTTATATTACCAATGGTTTGTACCTAAGTGGATTGGGAGGTGTCACAAGAGAAGGAAGTCTGGAGAGTTTGAACATTACCCATGTCCTCAATGTTGCTGTGGAACTTATGTCTTTGAAATATAAGTGTGGGGATAGAAGTGTTAATGTCCGATATGTTCACCTACAAGACAATAGTCAAGAGAATATTCTTCCATATCTTAATGAACTAATACATTATATACATGATATTATTTCAAAGGGAGATAATATTGTGGTACACTGTGTTGGAGGTGTGAGCAGATCTGCAACTATTTGTATAGCCTTTATGATTAAATTCCACGATATGACTTTACGCGAAGCCTATCGTCATGTCTTAAAACAGAGAAGCATCATTCATCCAAACAATTCCTTTTGGAGAAGTTTAATTTGCTTTGAAGAAAATGTCTGCCAGTCTACGTCTGTTGAGTTATTACCATATATAACTGGTATGGTAGCAGATGTATATAAAGATGAAACTGAAAGACGTATTTTGATTGGTTGGATGGATCATGTGTTTTATAACTGGTGTCTTCATCTTGTCATCCTAATTTTACAGATTATTTTTGCATGATCAACGGCTTTTACAGAACTCATTATAATGCTCATGTAATCGTTATTCTTCAGGTGAATTTCATTAGATTTTTTATTGATACACCGCTGATCATTTTCTTCTCTGTTTGATCTATGTTGCAATATTATTAGTTCATTTCATTTCAAAGAAAAATTCTTACTAGATTAATTGGAATTCTACAATATAATCCATTTTCAGATGTTTTCATTTAGACATTGAATGTCTTTGTTGTAAAATACACTGTACTGAGTACTGTGACTGATCTTTTTATATAACCAACATTTAACGCGGATGTATGTCGGCCTGTCCACAATTTCTTTACATGTCACTAGGTCAGAGTTCTATGTTTTTGTGCACCCACATTGAAATGTGGTCACATATTGTCGTCGCTCACTTCCGTCCGTCGGTCGGTTGGTCTGACGTCCACAATTGGTTGTGGACACTCTAGAGGCTAAAGTTAATGACCAATTGACTTTAAATTTATAAGGTCTTGAGATAAAGAAACCTATTGATTTTCAATGATTTTCAATAATTACTCTCAGAGTTATGGTCCTTGATCATTTTGAAATATCTTGGGGACGTTCTAGAAGCTAAAGTTAAGTAAAAGTTGCGCCCCTTCCCCGCAATAAATCCCATAATTCTTTCATTATTATTAATAAACGTGAATAGTGGCGACGAATTAGGATTAATTAAAAAAACATAGATATGACCCATGAAGTGAGATATTTTACTATAGTATGAAATAAATTAATGTTGGATATTGAACTGGCAATGCAATCAAATGGATTTTCTGAAATGGCATGCTTAAATTAATTTCGTGGGCGCCGACATTTTGTTTTAGGACTAGTTACCTTCCTTAGACATTGTTTATGATAATGTAAAAGACCGAATAATCTAGCCAATGACCCATTATTCTCAAATGTTGACAACACATCCAGACTAATATACGTAGAATATTTTTCTGGATGATAGAGACTACAATGTCATGTCAGCTGTAAGACAGCACAAAGATATTTTATAAATGGCATTTGTCTGTTGCTAAATTTATTGAGTTGTTGTTCTCTATAAAAATCATTTATTTAATCCATTATAAATAACTGGTTTATGGAATATTTTAATGGGTTTTTTTTTACATTATGTTATTTGTGTTATAGGATAGGGAGGATCATTAATATGCATGGAAATAATGAAACTCTCAATGAAGATCCAATAATGTATTTAAAAAAAAACAACAACCTTTTACAGGTCATGTACATCAATACAAAATTTCAATAATATACAAAAATTGTGATATGAGTCATTAACATTTTCAACAAAAAAACATCAAATTTAAGTGGAAAGAGAAATACCCTAAAATTATTTGCCATGTTGTGCTTACCATTGGTTTATTACCATATACTGGAATTTACTTATATTCGTACATGAAAACTTATCACACTTTATATAGTTTAATTCTAAATTTTATTGAAAGGTGAAATATTACAATATCTACTGGTAAATTAATGCATTTTCATACCTGCACATTTTTACAACTATTTCATTATCATCTGCACTAGTAGAGCACAAATTTATTTTAGATTGTTTAACATCAGTCAATAAACTTGATGATTAGGAAAGAATTTGGTTCTATATAATACAAAATGTTAATTGGGAATTTACATGTTTCTAATTAAGTGTGAAGAAGAAGTGGTAATTTGGCATTAAACATTCATTATGCAAGAGCTAATTCTGTCTATTGCAGGTCTTTCTTTAGTCCTGAAATGTTATATAAACTATTAATTAGACATTTATTAACATGAAAAGATCTTAATCAACTCTCAGTGCCATCTTATGTGTCAGATTTTTACTGGATTTGAATCCGATCTGCTGATCAATGCTCATTGATGATTAAATTAAAAAATGGTTAATTGAGACTATGCTTTTTATAGTACCGACTTGATGATGATCGAGGCTGGGCCTGCTGGGCTTAAAATTCAATCAATTATATCTCGGTTCAGAGTAGAGCAATTTGACTAAAAATTTTAGCATATTCCCTTTACATTATTTAGTTTGTAACTATTATAGTGAGGACTGTCAGCTCTTTATCTAATCTTCCACAATGCTCCTTTAAGTTACCTGGCAAACTATATTATTATCATTTCACTTAATAAACCAACTAAAATTATGTATATTTTTATATTTTTCAGGCTTGTCAACAATGGAATTAGCAATGTTTAACCAAATAGCTGAAATAAACGAGCACCTCTTCCTGTCTAGTGCTGCAGCGGTGCGAGGAGAAAAGATCCGCAGCCTTGGTATCACCCACATTATCAACTGTACCCAGGATGTACCAAATCTTGATCACCATGGTATAGAAACATATCAAATACATATAGATGACGTACCATCTGCTCGTCTTAATGTCTATTTTGATTGTTGTGCTGATAAAATTCACCAGGTAGCATGTTCGGGAGGTAAAACATTAGTACATTGTGTAGCTGGAGTCAGTCGTTCAGCTACTATATGCATGGTGTATTTAATGAAATATTACCGAGTCAGCTTGCGGGAAGCCTATTTGCATGTCAAGAAACGGCGGTCTGTTATTCATCCTAATTTAGGATTTTGGAAGCAGATGGTGGATTATGAAAGAACCACTTTGGGTAGCAGTTCGGTTAAAATGGTTCAGTCTAATGCTGGACTTATACCAGATGTCTACATAGAGCAATATCGTAACTTGGTTACATTTCCAACCACAAATAAATCATCTTCTTCACGATATTCAAATTACTCTAACAGTACAACCTCTCCGCGGTACAGTAATTATTCAAGCTCTACATCTCCTCGCTACGATTATACCTCTCGTCACAACTATTCGACGTATGGAAGCTCATCTTCTCCAAGATACGATATTTTGAATTCTTTGACCAGTTTGACCTCGCCTAGGTATGACGTCACAAAGAATAATGTATCCCCCAGATACGACACCTCCAGTACTGCCCATAGACTGGGCTTTATTAATTCTAGTACCAATGGTGGTACTAGTCCTAGATATGGAGGTTCTAGTTCCTATAATACTATGACTAGATATGGTTATTAATATGTATAATATATGAATGGTGATCAAATAATAAATTATCAAAGTAATAAAAGAGAAATCAATCAGTGGTCTGTGCTTCATTGAACAAACTTTAAAGCAGCAAGCTTATAAATAGACTTCAGGTTTATTTTACATTAATTAGGGGAAATCATATATTGAGCACAAAAGTTGTTAAAATAATCAGTACCCATGAAATTATTATTTTTTTTAACGTGGGTAAATACTACAATATGATGAAAATTAATTAATATGATTAACGAGAGAATATTACTTGTTAATTTGCTGATATGAATTAGATTTGGCTTATATTTTGTGATTTTATTTTATTAGAATTTATTATTCTTATCGTATCTTTTCTGATTGGATACCAGAGCTAATACCGAAATTAGCTGGAGAATATATTTATATAGAAGTTTATTTACATGTCCCAAAACAGGATAATTTAGAAAATTACCAATTTAATTATAAAAAAATACTACCATAATAAACATATAACATGTTTGTGAATTGTAAGAGAGAAAATAAAATGGAGAATATATTTATATAGAAGTTTATTTACATGTATAAATATATACATGTTTGTGAATTGGGAGAGAGAAAATATCCACTGGATGAAGAATCCTTGATCTATTCTCCTTTGTCTATAATAAGACCGGGACAGACTACTGATTGATATATCTTCCTGTTTAAACTATTTGTTTTATAATCTAATTTGTTATATGTATTGTTAGAATGTATATCTATTGTCTTCATAAATCTAAAAATGTTTCTGTTGTATACTTGAAATGATCTCATTCAGATATTTATAAATTTTTCGGGGGGAATAAACATTGTCTACAATAATTACAGGTATTAGGCATGATGAAAATAAATTTAAGAACCTGTATTTTATGAATAGATTAAGATACATTGTGCATTCTTCAACATAATGAATCAAGTTTGTAAGGGGATTTAAGATATAGGTAAACCAAATACAAGAATTAAGAACATCTTGTAGTCTATATATTTTTATGGTGTTGGATTCAGGAGTGTATTGTGAAGACAAGCATAAAATTTTAAAACACATAAACGTTTTGAAGTAACTTTCATTACAAAAAATAAATCTTGTGACAAGAATTCATTATGAAAATTTCCTAATTCAATCCCTTAAAGCACCTGTGCAAGTTTTGAAATGGTTGTGAGGATTTCATTAGTTTCCAGATTAAGTTCAATCTCGGACTATGTAAATGTGATATGACATACGTCAACATTTGACATGTTGTTCTTGTCTAGTCATTACTTGTATGTAAAATTAAATAATATATGCCATCATACATCATCTTGTCTTATTGTTTCGTAAAGAGTTACTGGAGAACTGTTGTCAGTTTGGTACTATTTCTTTATTTTTATTAATTGTCAAGATATTGTTTGCCCCTTTCTTCATGGGTTACAAAGCAGCCATGATAAGGTTTGTAAGTTATTAGAGTATTATATTTTGGCACATAATGTTTATATACTCATAATAAATTTTTACCAAGATATCTCGCACATGGTAATAAATTTTTACCAAGTACTGTTATCTCTCAGATGGTAATACATTTTTACAAAGATATCTCTCACATGGTAATAAATTTTTCCCAAGATACCTCTCAGATGGTAATAACATTTTTACCAAGATATCTCTCAGATGGTAAAAAATTTAATTTATCCTTTCTCAGCAATGTCTCCAGTAACTTCTGACTTGGTCACAGATGACCTTGTGACAAGGTGATATAGTTTATAATGGCTATATAATATGAGGTTATTATGTGCATATAAATTATTATTTTGTATATTAGATTTTTTTTCTTTATTATTTGTTTATTGGTTATTATTATTACATTATATATACATGTTCATGTCTGTATATTAAGCATTTCCATTGATCAGATTTTTTGGACATATTTTCTGTGTCCTGGAATGATTTATTTATTTTCTAAATAACATGTATCACTATTATATTTTGTTTAGTATTATTATCATTATTATTATTTTATATCATTAGTCTTTTAATAATGGATATTACTTAATACTGTTCTTAAGGCAAACATATATTTGTAAGTTGTCTCAGGGGTGTGCAAACTGAAAGGTCCTGATATTATATTTGGTAGAAATATGTGTTAAGTTGCATAACACGTTGTCCTTATGACAGAAGTTACGGAAGTGCAAGAAACTATCAATTTGAAATGAACTGGGATTTAACAACCTACTTTTCTGTACCAACTGGTCTAATAACGACATCCATATGCCATCCAACACGGGGAGACATCCTGGTTAATGAGTCATCATGGCTACAGGAACTGTCGAAAGGAGGAAATAATGAAAGTTGCACACCTTTAATATTATTATTATACTCTTGAATTTTAGAGTTATTTATTTAAAGATGTTTATTATACCAAAGACATTTATAAAAGGTTTTTTATTGGTTTTATTTAAATGTAAAACATCTAAGAAAGTAGACTATAGACAAAATGCACATCTGTGTACATAATTTTCGTAGTTGCATTATTTCAAATACATCTAAATATATATTAAATGTAATCTTTTGAAGAATTATATCTCAAGACAATACATCTTCACAGGCCATTGTTTTCAATTATTAAGAAATGGCATACATGTTCTAGAAGTCTGCTTCAGGTTATGTTTGTCATTTTCAGCCATGATGTAGTTTGATATACATGTACTATCAAAACTAAATAAATCAAGCTTACTACTGTCTTGTGGGAAGCATTATACTGATTTTGCTGACTCGATAAAAAAAAAATGACTTATGAAGATGCTTTGTCTTTGTGGTCTGAATCCTTAATAAATCAAATTCAGCTAAAACTACAAATTCTCCAGCACTCCTTTTAGTCTCATAATCACACTTACGAGATTAACTGGAAGGAAACCTGCTGCAGAGGTTTTTAATATATCGTTTTATTGATCGATGATGGATATACAAGATATATTAATTATAGATTCATGTACCTAACAGTAAAGTATTGATGTTTGTTTTCTAATAATCATTAATGTGCTTAATCTCTTTATCTGTTATAGGGCACACCATCAATAATATATTTACTTAAAAGTGATAAAGAAGATCTTGCCATTTGGTCCATACATATTATGCATTAAAGATAAACTCAGGTTATGTAAATTATGCATTAAAGTAGTTGTTACCAGTTTCAAGAAAGATATTTCAAACTGAAATATTTCACTGAATGCAATGATTTTACTTAGAAGCAAAGGTATATTGTTATAAAACTGATCAGGGTTTATAACTAGGAATATTTTTAAAGGATAAAGGATATGTTTGTTCCTTAGGATTATCATAATTTGGTATATATGAAACCTGATTTATTGTAATATTGTAATAATTTCAATACATACAAAAAATCATTATCTCAGTATCTCAGGCCTTTTGTCACCCTCAACAGCATTTTATTTCATTGGTCAGTTTGGTACCCCCAACAATATATAGAAACTATTGATAATTTTTATGCCAGTTCAAAATTTAATCTTCTAATGAAAATGTAATGAAATTATGTTCAGGGTGATTTGAGCCTCTATAATTTTTTTGAATAAAAAAAAAAATATATTCATACTCGTATGATTCTACTATATAATATTACGTATTAATATTCATTGTTTATTTTTCATAGTCACATTCCTCTGTTGCTTTTTTATATTTTGTTTATTAGATGTGTGTACATAAATATTTTAATTTATTGTTACTCATTGTATTATTCACTTTTAGATATAGCAACAAAAAAACATGGTAGAAACTGTTAAGAGACCAATGTTTAGGGTTTTATAATGATAGGTTGTTTTTTTTTGAGTGAAATAAATAAGCATGAGAAAAATATACATATGTTGTAAGGATTGTTTTAGTGTCAAATAATTGAAACAGGTATGTATGTAGCTTTAATCAAAAGCTTTATAAGGAATTCCCACAAAAAAATAAAAAATAGATTATACAATATTATTTTTTGTGTATTTTGACCCCAATATTTGGTTCTTCATGTTGAAAATATGTAAATGAAAATATTTGAAATTTTAGAAGATAATAAAAACCTGAATTTGAAATGTTTTCTTTGTATTAGTTTCAAAATAATAATAATACTGGAGACCCTACTGCCAGTATCCCATTTAGCCAAGTTATACAACTATACCTACAGATACTAACTAAAGCATTCTTTATACCCTATTTAAGGATAATCCCTATTGTTTTTGGTGAATGCCTGACCCCCCCCCCCCAGGGGCAGAGTCACACCCATTTTGTCTTTGGGTGTCTGTGTGTTGCCTATAATTCTTAATGGATCATCTTGGAACTTGGCATATGTATTCTTTATAGCCTAAGGATGGCAACTATTGATTTTGAGCCACGGCCAATTTTTGTGTTAACCGTCTACAGACTGCAATTCTGAATGGATCATCTTGGAACTTTGCTTATTTATTCCTTATACCGTAAAGACAGCAATTATTTATTTTGGTGCATGCCCCAACCCTCAGGAATGTGGACGTATATTGCAGTGGTACCGATGCTCTTGTTTTAATAGTCATTCATAGACAAACAGTCAATAAAACGAAAAACAAAATCATGTTAATAGGAAGATGATTTCCTAAATTGGAAATGTACAATAGTACTCAATATTGAAAGATTTATGAAGAATGCAAAAAAATTAAGGACCGATCGAAGAGAAAGGCCAGATATAAAGAGCCTTTGATATTTACAGGGGGTGATGACAATGTATGATAAATGTATCCGGATGCCCTACATGGCGAGAGCGACCCATTTCAAATTCCCATCACTACTTTTCAGCAACAGTCCATAGGGAAGAGAATGACGATATTTTTTTACCCTTTTAAAACGACTGCGTATTGAGGACAGTAAATTAATGATTATGAAAGAGGAGTTCAACCTTTGACAAGAAAAATAGAATAACGCGGATCAATCGGGTATGATGCATAGTTCTGTCCACGATTCTTGTAACAGAATCGTGTTACCCCGCTGCGCACTGATAACGTTATTCAGCGTTTTACACGATCGATCCCTTTGCTAGAGCCACCCCGACGCATGATACATTAAAATTTGATTGTATGTGTTGAAGTAAACATCGACGTTTGTTCTAGTGATCTTAGTTATAGGCCAGCAGATGCAGGGCCAGATTTTATGAGTTTTTGTTCCACCCATCGATCTTGTGGCCAACGCCGGATTAACCATGGGGCATCACCAACCGCAGAGGGCCCCCCACAAAAATCTCAGTTGCGTCCAGCCCCCTCCTCTAGAAATGCCATCATTTCATAGCACTCGCATTGATTGGTCCACTGAAATAACGCCAGAATGCGCTAATTTTGTGGCAGAATTTTATTTTTTCTGGGGTAGGTACTTCTAAATGGCTCTACACAAGTGCCTGAAATGCAAGGAAATCACGTTTCCGGCCTCCAATTTCTGAAAAATTCCCGGGGGGAGACCCCCCCCCCCCCCAGGCTGTAATTATATTACGGTCGAAAGTCATTACAATGCGGTCGGCGGTAAAAAGTATTTGGTCGGCGGTAATTACACGACGATCGGCGGTAAAAAGCATTTGGTCGGCGGTGGTCGGCGGTGGTCGGCGGTAAAAAGTACCACCGGATATTTTCAGTCGGTTTACTTATCTATTATGAGCTATTATAGCAAGAACGGTCAACTATTTATATCTAATTGTTACATGTAGATATTTTCAGCAAGGGGTAGATATAGAGCCTGGGTTGATATCTTCAGTAGGATGTTGTTAGTTGGTTGTATTTTACGTCCGCTTCAGCCGAGGGAAAGTAGGAAATCCGTAAAAAATTTTATAGTGATGAGGATCCAATCTCTTTCACAGTATTTATACTGATTAGTTTCCAATCTGTTTCATAGAGGTATTGCGAAGGATTTCTCCTTATAACCCTGTTTATAAAGTTCATATGCATTCTACGTGTGACATCACATCACATTGGTGTCGATTCTTGGTTAGATAGCCCATGCAACATTTACATAACGTTAACGGTCCGGACAAAATGGTGCTTTTTGCTCATTTTATACTCCTCATTTACACAAAATAGGAATTTTTTTTATCCAGATATACTTCAAACACCTTTATTTATTTTTCTATTACTTAAAAAATGTTCTAAATTTAATTTGCAAAAGGAAAAAGTTAATACTGCGAGCTCGTTAACCCGCACTGATGTCACCCCTCTCAGTGATGTTAGCGGCCTAGCGAATATTCACTGCTGGTCAGTGTGATTAGGATCATCCTTGTGGTTAAGGTGATGCAGAGAATTGTGTTTGAAAAAAAAAGCCTGTGTTATGGTCAACAACCGTCCTGATTATTTCAATCTATATATTTTGTCTAAGATTTGTACCAGGGGCAGTAATAATAAATAAATCTATAATGTATGTGATCGATAATGTAGTTTATGACCTCACCGATGTTTTCAAGTGAGTTGCAATGGATTTCAGTTGACTTTCAAATCCAAGTAGCCATTACAAATACAACCCTAACTTAAACCGATTCCACTCGTAGATGGTCAACCCGGATGTCCCTTACAAGATGTCAACTAATGATTTAATTTAGATATACTTAACCTTTTTAAAGACCTATCTATATCCATGTTCGATTATTCTTTGGATATATGGCAGTCGTTAAACCACAATATAAAGAAACTAATCACACCCACTAGTCTCTAATCTTGTACTATCGTGTCCAGTCACGTTTCATTTATATAAGTATATGGTATAGTTGGCAGAGATTTAATGTTTATTAAACACGAGCATATATAATATTATATAAATAACCTGGTAGTGAGAGTTTCTATGGTTGTTTAAGGTATTATTAGTGTTATTTGTCTATAATTATACCCGGTAATTATATTGATTCCTGATATAGAGCTCTATAATTAGTTATTCTCTTGTATCTCATTTTAGCTGACGTCTACAGGCTAAATGCAGAATAATAAATGACTTTAACGTATACCGATTACATATTGTTTGTAAAACTTATCTACATTCACCGTTATCTTACATGAGAATCTTTGATATCAAAAAAGACGAGTAGGAGGTTTTATTTATCACACAATCTTTTCTTACATGCACAAATAAATAAATATAATTCTTTGCTATAGATTTCAATTTTACTGAACCTGATTACATTACAGCGTAGTGATACATCATTTTTTGACAGCAATTCAACCATCGCAAAGTCCTTTATATTGACCCAGTGTTTCCATAAAGGTCAATTAAATAAAAAAAAAATGGTTCATTTTTAATAAAAAAAAATGGTTCATTTTTAATAAAAAAAAAATGGTTCGTTCATTTTTAATAAAAAAAAAATGGTTCATTTTTAATAAAAAAAGAAGTTACCTTTAATAAAAAAAAAATGAACTGTTCTTTGAAAATAAAAAAAAAGTAGCTCCTTTTCAACTGACCAATCAAATTCATGTAAAGCGACATCTCATAATTAAAATAAAATCTACCACCATGAGTATTCAGATGTAAGAATTTATATGTGTAAACGACCTCTCAGTTTTTGATGTGCATATTTATACTCCAAAACGTTCACCATTACAATAGACAGGCTGTATTATGTAAGAGTTGTCTTTGAACATACGAGTGATCAAACCGGTTTTATCTTGGAAATCGATTGGGAATTTTATTAATGTTGAAACATACAAGGCTATAAGAATTATCAAGTGTCCCCTACCACCCTTGGAAATGTCTGTGGTGTGGTGGAAATATGGAACTTTCCGGTGAAAAATGAAATCTGTTTAAGTCCATTCAGTCAAGACAAAAAATAAAGCTTTAGTCTCTACAATTTGTACTATACCAAAGATGTCAGAACTGGATAGACCACCGTTGGATCCCCGCCAACATCATGTTAAGAAGGGGCAGATTTCTGACCAATTGTCTACATTCTTGTTTATTCTACTTGTAACTTATAATAAAGACTTTCGGACCATTTGTGTCACATCATCTATAACAGCACATATTTTGAGAGTGTGGCTGAAGCAATGCATGTTCTCTAAAGTGACCAATGTCCACATCTGGCACTGCAAATACATTTCTTTCTGTGTAATCCTAATACATGTGTGTATATTATATGGAATATTTCTGTAAAACTGAATTTTCATTGAATTGGGATGTAACCCTAAATTAAGTAAAACAGTGTATTGAATTTCAAACAAATACTTCAGAGTTTAACTTAAATCAATTCCGGAAAACAGAATTTTCATTGATTATCAAATTCCTTAATAAATAACATAAATTCCCATGCGTAGTACTCAATTTTACTCATGTTGTAAGTGTTTGCTGACCATCAGAATTCAGCAAAATCTTCCCCCAAAGTCCAGGAAATGGCATTTTAGGGACGGTAGATTCAAATATTTCTCAGACCCCCCCCCCCCCCGTTGAAATACTCGTACCTGCAGTGCATCAGTCGGTTTCATTTTTCCTAAACACCAAAAGAAAATCGATATGAACGCCACCGTCTGATGGATTGGGGAACCGCCAAGAAGAATATCAGTCGAAAATGGTTCAATCAATGGTTCAGATTTCTGCAAAATCCTCCCCCAAAGTCCAGGACCCCCCCCCCCCCCCTAGAAATACTCGTACCTGCCGTCTCATTTTTCCTAAACACCAAAAGAAAATGAGATTGGGGAATCCCCAAAGGGAATATCAGTCGAAAATGGTTCAACCCCGTTCAGTAGTAACCAAGTTATGACGTATTGAATATGTGTAAAATGCAATTCCTCTACAAGCTATATAAATGGGATATGGTCAAAGGCCAATCTCTTGACGGGTCTCCCAAGTCGGGAGATTTTCTACCGTTGATTTTTGTTTTAATAATTAAATGTTAAACAATCAATTTGATTACATTTACTATGGGTTACGCCGTGGAAAATTTGATATTTTCCGAAAAATCCAAATGGCACAACAGGACTTTAATCTAAAAGAAAATTCCAGAAAACAGAATTTCCATTGATTTTGAGTCAACAAAGAAATTCAGTCAAATATTAACGAGACCCACGAAACGCGAACCTAATCTTTAGCTCTGTCATACTCAGTAGTATATACCAAATGTCATTCAAAGCTTAATTTTAAAAACAAATCCCAGAAACGACACACCGACAAAGGGACAAACGGACCGAAGAAAACCTATAGTCCTCACCGGTTTTACATGTATAATATTGGGGATTAAGACAGAAAGAGGGGAACCCGACCCGGTGCTTAAGATGGCGTTAAAATAATGAAATATCGTGTTATTTTATATGTATTGTTATAAAACTGTGCTCCTTTTTTATTTTGATATACAGGCGACATACATACAACATCAGTAGTGTGAGCACCCTTTGAATCCAGAGTTTGCATGGAAATGAAATGTAGTTTAATATCCTGCTTTTCTGCACCAACCAGGCACCAAACATCCACCACTCTTCAACGAATTCCAACTTTCGAGGGTTCTTTTATGTGTATACACGCCATCGTGTACACGGGACCACGTAGCCGCATAAACGATAATCAGATATATTGTATATTGCTGCCAGGTTCCTTTCGATGTAGTTATATTCGTTCTTATGCTGTGCCAAGCTTAATTTGCCCATAGATATTGCCCAAAGCAGCTTATGTATCAGTCGTATAAAATCACATATAGCTATGCTGACATTATGAAAATACAGAAAGGAAAGCATCTCACCGAATTTCCCGAAAAACATAAATAACTAAATATATCTTCTAGAACGTAATTTCAGTTAGGAAACAAAAGAACCTCTATTTTTCTCTTATCTTTGAGGTTATAGAAAATTTGTTCTTTAAAGGGTTCCCTTTCCGACGAATAATGAGGCACTTCTCACGAAACCTTTACTTGATGCCACAAGACTGTGAATTCAACATACACCGAATAAGCGCTACATATCCACCAAGGGTGCTTTTGAGGAAAACCATACGAAAATTATGATACAATACGGAATTATGCATACATCCAGTGCAATCGGAAGAATTAATTTGGGTCGAAACCCGACATAAATTTTGAGTTGGTCGCTTAAAGCCCGAGGATTATTCCAGTGGGGCTTTCTAAGTTCGATTCATTAACCGTCATCCAGACTCGTATTTTGTATCAGGCATATATTTGATATTCCTACATCACTGTACCAAAGTCTAAATTATGCTGTGATGTAAAATAAAAGCCAAAGCCTATAAGCTTTCTGTAAAAGGCGCAGTGACTCCGTATTAAATTGACTTGACAATGACAGGGTGGGTAGTCAAAATCTCAAACCTGTGGCGAGTTTACAAGATATGAGTAACGACAATATACCTTCAACGTATTAAAATGACTTGTAAAAATAAGAACATGAAACAATTCCAAGCTAAAATTCGACACACGAATACAAATTTTAATTTTAGCCCCGTTTTCCGTTGTGATATATTTATTATTGATATTTTCTAGACTGTAAGTCTGGGATTGACGAATATACATTAATCCATCCAAATTATTGATGAAATGAACTAAATTATATAAAATCACATTATGGCATGTCCTGTTTGAACTAAAATACATTACAAGTTCGAACGGCAATAACGTACTAAAGGCTTACGTTGAAGTCATGCTGGATTTAATTCACTGAACGAGCGTCATCGAAATAATATGTAGGCACTGGTATACGAACATGTAATTATCATAGGCTAGATATAGATAAATCACAGGGGAAGCTGCTATAATAGTTTCGTTCAATAGACTATATTGAGGCGTGCAAGTCGATGCAAAATATTCATAGGTTGAAGCAATTATTTATATCAATAGTACGAAAATCTATTTGAAGGCACATAATTAAAACACACAAAACGGGACTATATTTAATTGGTTTGTTAAACTTTCAAATGCACGAGATTATATTTTCCACGTAGGGTGTTTGTTTTCCTTTTAATTGCACTCCATCTTTTCCATTTACTTTTTCACGTTTTATTTTACGTTGCATAAACCCATTACATGACCATTGTGAACAATTAATAGGCAGTTCCACCCGACCTTCAGAAACTGAAAACACGATGTACGCCGTACGATATGGCGACAGGATACCTAAATGCCACAGAAATCTTAACTGAAGATAGTCCTGCCATTGTGAATTCAAGTCAACAGTCCAACCATGCATTCCGAACCGACGGTGGTGTAGAAGTAAGTAATTTAAATGATTCAAGACCCATCTTTTCATTTTCAATGATTTTCCTGTCCAACCGTTCTAGAGCTTTCCACAAGCCTTGATTGATAACGATATCCGGTTTTCTACGTTTCACCGTTTTGAAAGCTAAATCTAAAGATATTTTGTAATGGCTCATTAAATATTGTATAATGGCTGCCGCCGATCGAGATTTACCATGGTAACTATAGATCAGAACGGATTTATGACATTTCCTTGCACCTTCAATAAAATTGTTTATTTCCTCAAAGTATTGTTCCATGCTCTCCCATTCAATATCATCCACTGCAATGTAGAGCTTGGAACGGAAATGTAATTTGTCTATACAGAAGCAAGGACATTCCAACTTGCGTCCTGGCACTGAAAAGTTAGGAGGAACATTGGCAATGTCAACAAGGGCGTTTATGTTGGCTTTACACAAGGCCGGTTCATTGTAGGCACTTTCGATGCTTCCCAAATAAAGGTAGCTTAAAATTCGATACAGGTGACTTTTTGAATCCGTTTGGCCGCATTGATAGATAGCGTGTTGATTGGAGCATGATGAAGCGTTCGAAGATATCGGAAAATCAATGCTATGGTTTTTAGTAAGTATCTTTCTCGGTCCACGATTCGGAGACGCGTCCATACCAGTTCGGATATGTGGTTTTAATTGCCCAGATTGAATGTTTTTAAAGGTTGGACTGAGCGACGGTTTAATGACTGGCACTTTTGCACGGGACGTCGTCTGTTCTTGACTTCCGGTTTCGCTTAACACCGACGAGAAATGATGACAGTGTTTTATAGGTGAATCGCTCGTATTGGTATCCATATTCTGTTCCGCGACAATCTTGGTCTCGTGAAAATCAGGAAAGTTATTAAGCGAGTCAAAATGTGTGCTTTGACTTTGTCGCCTTTCTGAACTCATTAACTTTCTGGTAAATAAACTATTGATCTGAGCTCTGCTTTTATTCAATATCACGCTTAACACGTCTCCAACACTATTCTGTCTTTTTAGCTCCTTGAGGAAAGGCCTTGGTGGCAGGGCTTTAGCCACATTTTTATCAGAAAGATCCGAATCAGCTCTCATCAGACGTTTGATTTTCTCCCCCTTGAGTCCACTGCTATGTACATTACATTGTACATGACTGACATCGAGAGAACTTGCTCCATTCACTGCCATTTCATTGACGATCCCGTTCTCTTTATCCGTGTTTGGGTTCCGCATAATCCAAGAAATTGTTATTCAATCCCGCATCTGGAATTAAACAAACATAAATAAGAAAGAAAGAATTAATTTCTTGTTGGGACAAGTCTGCCATCCTCGTTGAGTTAATTATCGTGATTGATGACAGCCCAGGACTTATAAAACTACAACAAATGATGAACTACTTCATCGACCGTATCTTTTAATCAATATGACTATCAATTATTACATACTCCGGTCCTTGCGCCCTTGAGACTTCAGTATAAGAAAAAATCTCTGGTTGGAAACAACAAACTCTATAACAGGATGTAATATACATCGATAATAAGGCACATATCTATGGAATCATATTGCACATCCTCGCCTATTACTGCCCATCAAAGTGATAGCTTATAAAATTATAAACGTCCATTAAATCAACAGCAGAAAAGGGAAACATTGTATTCATGACGCACCAAATGATATTAATTTATCAATATTCCGATAATACGTTATTATGTAAAATACGGCTTCGCGCAATATTGCTTCTATTGTTGTTAATTGTCTGAATAGTCCAACAGCCATCAACAATGGCTGCCAACATGTATTAAACATATGGATTAATAAATTGAGGCTATTCTATGTATATATTCCCGGTGGATCTCGGCGTTATCAACTCTATAGAATTTCCCATCATCGAGCGGTCTAATTAATTATACGATGGCGCATTTTACTTCCTACACGAATTGCGTGCATTTACAGGAAGGGTTTTAGTCGCACCTGGGAAGAGACAGTTCACAGCAATGGACAATGGGTTGATTATCTGAGAATTAATAGGAGGCTGGGGTTGAGAGGGGATCGGGTCCTGGGGTGTTGTATAGATCGTTGCAATATACAAACGATTCTAACAGACATAGCCTACAGTGCTATTTAGTGTTACCTAAGATTTCGTTTGGGTGGGAAGAAAAATTGAGGTCTATCCGTGGCACGCACGTAAATGAGACCTCTAAAGTTGGAAATCGACGCTGTACGTGCAAACATTTTCTTCCTATCCTTTTGACCATAGAGAGTAAATTTAACGATATGTTAGTCTCAAAATGACAGAATTACTGAACTGTTGACCTCTTACTTTCATTAGTTATATTTGTTTATTTTTACGGAGATATTCGATCTAGATCCGTTCAAATGTTAAAATATATAATTGACACAGACTCATCGAAATCCAAACGTTTCATGTGTTCCGCAATCTCGAGAACGACATAAAAATATGTGCATGAAGATAGGTACTAAAGGACGAAATGGCCCAATTCTATCCAATGTAAGTAAATGGAAAAGTGAGAAGTTTCGTGTTTTCAAAACATTTCAACATAAAGTGTTTATTCCATAGATAGAGTAGCTGATCAGACTGCAGTAAGATATTTGTAAACACTGTATTTGTTTTGTCAGATTCTAGATAAAATATGTTGAATGTGTTATCTTCATGGTTCCCACTCCTCCAATCCCTTTAATTGTTAACAACAACGTAAAAACGTGACTCACAACAATATACGCCTTATATATCTGTGGGTCCGTAGTCGAGCAATCAGTGGACTGGACTTTACTAGAATCCCAGTCTGGGCCTTGAGGAATCTCTGAGATTTTTCAAGCCAGGCATGGTGGAACTTGCAGTTATGTCAAGTACAGTGCCCCTTACTGGCGTGCAAGTAAAAGAACCATTACTATTTGGAAGTTCATGCCACTGCCCGGGTAAAATCATATACCTTTTATTGTACTCATAACCATGGAAATTAACATATCATGTTTAGTCTAGAAATAAACAAAAATATTATGCGTTTGAAATTTTCGCTCTGTTGTTATCTCTATGTCCATCAAATAATAACGTTTATGTAAATGGCGTTCGGTGTCCTGATTTATATGTATGAAATATTAAATCATAAATAAATGTTATTATGTGATGGCTACAGAGATAACAACAGTACGCAAATTTCAAACGCATAATTCTCAATACGTAAATATTTCAGATTTGTCGGTTCGCCAGACAAGCGACGAATTATACACCCAAACCAGAAGGAAGCAAATTAATATAAGCCTACTTGGCTTGTTTTTGTATCCTATTATTTATGCGTTTTACATAATATTCTCGAAATAAATACTGTTTAAACCAATGCACCGTAGCCTAAATGCCTTTAAAAGCAGATTATACGAAATGAAAATGTTGTCGCAGCTGTATCAATTCTATCCCAAAGGTAATTATGGCGTTTCTTACAGGTGTTATAAACTAGCAAATACATGACAGTTGTAGGTAGATAGCGTCGGTCTAATTAAAAATGTTGATGTCGGTCTCATTAAAAATGATACAAACTATACATTCCGGTTTACTTGTGAAATTTATGGAGAACAAAAACAAAAACACCCACTCACAAAACAAAGGAAGTGTCATATCATTGCTATCAATAGATTAGATACCTGTCAACAGAAATGTGCCGGTTAAAGAAAACGGGAATGTCAGGGGGTCTTTAACGTGATACCACGGCAAACCAGATAGGAAAATCCCAGGAACTTCTGTTAGAGAGCCAGCGCCATACTCGTTGACAATTAGTGGCTAGCTAAATACTGTGGAGTAATCTATACATCAAAGAATATAAAATGATCAACTCACCTAAATAATTAAAACATGTAGGCAGATCAGTTATTAGAATTTCTTCACTTCAATTCAATTCCAGTTTTCCACAGTTTCAGTCAAATCGTGTTTATGTTATATATAGTCTTACCAAGTATCGACGTACAGTATATAAATTCCCCATTGCACGAATAGCCAAATCACGTGACGTAAACCATCCAATACATTAACGAACTGTAAAGATGTCGCCATGACAACGCAAGACAACGATGGAAGACACAATTGGGATAAATAGTTTATATAAACGTATCTATATGCTATGTGTGTATACACATAATGATGTCGTGGTATTGAGTTCTTGCAAATTGCGTATCGATTTTCAGAGTTACATTTCAGACATGGGAATAAAAAGACATGGTTGCATTACAAAATGTATTAAATTAAGTCTTTTATGATCATTATGTCAGTCTTTCGTCGTTTATTTTTGGTTGCATATTATTTTATAATCGCCAATTAGAATTCATTTAAACATACATTATAATATGCAAGAGCTAAATCTGTCTAGTGCAGGTCTTTCTTTAGGCCTGAAATGTTTTCTAAATGATTAATTAGTCATTAATTAACCTATCCAGACCTTAATCAACTCTAGATGGCATCGCTAGCCCACGATCTTAAGTGGATTGTGAGCCGATTTACTGCATAACTTTCCTTTACGATTAAACGATTAAATGGATAATCGAGACTATACTGTTTATCGTACTGACTTTAGTAATGATGACCGAGGCTAGGCAGAAATTCCATTCGCTTAGTTCTCGGTTCATAGTGGATCAATTTGAATGAAATTTTTAGCAAGCCTGTGATCGTTAGTGGATTATGAGCCGATTTACTGCATAATTTTCCTTCACGATTTAACGATTAAATGGATAATCGAGACTAAGCTGTTTATCGTACTGACTTCAGTAATGATGATCGAGGCTAGGCAGAAATTTCAATCGCTTAGTTCTGGGTTCATAGTGGATCAATTTGAATGAAATTTTCAGCAAATTGCCCTTACATTATCTGGTTTTGCCAACTCGTTATCGAATCTCCCATAATGTATCTTTAATTGTACATGCAGGGAATTATGACGTAATTTCCAGAAGTCATGGTTATTTTAAGCCATTCGTCCTGGTTCTTAAAATCTCTAACTTTACTATGAGTCGCGTGCACAGCAACAAACCTTTTTTTTTCTACAAAATTTGTTTAATAATTTGAGATTGTTTTAGACAATACTAAAGAAACGGGTAGGTATAGACACGTAGAATACGCCCGGTTCGGACAGTCCTGATTGGAGATACTAGGCTTGAATGAAATTTGCAGTTTGCAGTCATCTTTTCGATTCATTAACACAAAGTTAAGAATTGGTCAGTATAAGGAGTCAAGTATGGCTAACTCCAACATAATCTCTTTCAGATCCGTAGCAGACAAGAATTAGACCAGGGTAAGATATGCACTTCTATATTTGAGGAGAAGTTGGAATGCAGAAGAAAGTTAAAGTGTTAGCTTGTCAAGCGATTATTGACCAAAATGAAGACAGAAGGTTTGCCATGTTTCACATGGGTCCGGAAAAGACCTGGTAACAGTTTTGAACAGGATACAAGCAAATGACAAGGCTGATAGGAAACAGTGCTAGAAAAGGCAAACGTATAGTTCGTACATGCAAGCAACAGAGGCACGGGTATAGATGCGTGTGGCATTGCCGTAGCTAGACATTTGTCAGGAAGAAGATCTCCATACTATATAGACGTGATCTACGACGCAGATCCATGTCGGTCTTCAATCGTAGACAGTGGACCAGAAAGAGGATTCTCCTGTCACGTCTTAATTAAAACATTGATAATGATGAAAACAACGAAAGATACTCGTGGAATCCAATGAACGTTAGAACCAAAGTTAGACAAATTGGATTTTGCAAGAGGAATGCTGTCAAAGACGAATATATTATGCAAGCTGTTGCAAAGACCGATAACACCAAGATCCGACATAGTCAGGATTTCTAAAGAACATTTTACTCGATTTGAGACAGTAGTAGTCGAGCAGTCACAGTGGTTGAATCTCAGAGTGTGTGGAAAAGAACCTTGGGGTTTTACAAACCCGATTCCCACGCATGGCGCTTGGCAAGGAATGTGTCTTGTATGGATATGACGAAAAATCCACCCGTGTACACAAAAGAACCCCGGACAATTATATTTCGATGAAGAGTATGGGCGAAATCGTCCCTGCATGGCGCATATCCGTGATCATTAGTCCAGTTGGTGCAGAAAAAGTAGGCTGTAAACCTTCATGTCATTTCAAAGTAGTGGGAAGGTTCAATGGAAAATATGGCACTATTTTTTGGTGGTGGGCGATGATCATGGTCAGCTACATTATTGGAGATACATTCTGCACACATCTACTTAATATTTCGAGAATAGACCTCTGCACCAAATGGCAGCCATATCAAAAAATTATTATACTGTTTTATAATACGGTACTACTCCGTTTCACATCTGTCATACACACAAATACTAAATAAACTTTTTCAATTTCATTAAATGGAAGCAGAATTCAAACTTAACAAAATTCTCGAAGAATACTTTGTGTTTTCGATTAAAATCTTCAAATTAGGACTTAAAATGTCGGTCAACTGGCTTAGTATCTGTTCTCAAGCGGAGCTAACTGTAGACAGACAGTCTATGTTTAGTATGTTTAGTATATTTCTTAATCCAAGACTAAGATTATGTCCATGATATACTGGATGGAAGGTTACCTGTCTCTAAATCAATATTTAATGTCTTCATAGCTACTCTTGTACCCAATTGATCACAGGTTATCCATAAATGCGACACTGTCCAAAGTTGTCTTATATTAGAAATGGCCGAAGAGCTTATCATTAAAATAGATGGGACCGATGGTCCATTTTCCTGAACCAATCCCCGAGAGACGAAACGGCATAGCAGAGCCAGAGGATAGGATGTCCTATGTGCTTATTGACCAATGGTTCAACACCTCCCCAAAAATGTGAATGAAAGCAGGACCCTTACATCAACAGTGAAAAGGGGCCATATTCCGACACATGCTGCCTGGTTGGCTTACGGTAGATGCGAAAATTTTATGTTCCCTAATCTTTGCCGTAACATATTACATAAATTACAATCTGATTAAAACACAGATCCTATTTCGTTTCGTTTTTATAGTTCAAAATTTCATTTTACTTGTCTTTACTACACTAGAATCTGGAAAAGTTGTTATCATTGACGTGTTCTGATTGGTGTGAGGAATTAGCCAATGACACGGTCATAGGGTCAAAAGCCGCTCGCATGACCTCAGACGTGTCCTATCGCTATACAACCGGTCAGAACTTCATGTAGTGTAGGCCATCGAAGTATAGAAAAAACGAAACGAAATATAGATCTGTATTTTAATCAGATTGCATAAATTTATTTGGGGCCCCTTTAATATTGGAGCCCTGGTTGAAGTTAAATTTATCCTTGTACTTGGAAGGATGTCCGGGTAATTTTGTGGAGTAAGGAGATATAATTTTTATCCTGCAAATAAATGAGTCATAATTCATAATTATATGGCTTAGCTGCTTGACTAAGTGTGACATTTAACAACCTTTCTACGAAAATTTAATTAATTTATCTTATCGCAAGTGACATTCCATATTTATCTTGAGCTGTCAGGCCAAAACTTATTTCGGATTACATTATAAGGCGCTTTCATCAAATGATAATGCTTCAAATACAATTTCAAGATACTAATCTTAATCAACTTAGTACCTTTATCCTTGCACACTTTAATTAAAAACTAAAATAACTACTTTCTTATTGCGTTTTACTTCCAACATGGCGATAACCTTATAGACAGCCAATATAATCCTATTTCAGGAAGTAATTAATTAACTGGCATTCTGTGTAGATAGGATTAAACAGGATAAGCACCTATAACTGTACATACTAAGCACAAGTAATGTGCTAATGTTTCTCAAGAATGTATAAGTAAGATGTTGGATCCGAATACAATTTCCATTAAAATTATTGCCTTTGACTTTGTAGCATGATTCTGAATAAAAATCACAATGGGACAGATAGCTTGTACAAATATTTATAACAACCAAATGTCAAGGATGATGAAATTCGGTAAACATATATTGACAGGCAATATTGCCAGAAAACGAGACAAAAACCTTGGAACATTAAATTTCAGTCGAGAAAACAAGTTATCTATTGTTCGTTGATTGTTTATTATAACAATTTTTGCGAAATCAAGGATGAATTTGTCAAAAATGTTATTTTTTTAAGGCGTTGGTCCTCTATTCTTTTATTAAGGACGAGAAAGTGGCTTTTTGATCCAGGAGATGCTACAGAACGCACCAATACACGATTGATTTTTAAAAAAATTATCGTCCATCGGGGTCTACTTTTCGCACTGGGCCCACCACATAAAATCCATTAAAAATGCAGGCAATTATGATATCCCGCCAGCAGTATTTTGAGGGGTTGCTTTCAAGTTTTCAAGTGCAAACACTACGCATAGAAATTGAAGGACGGGTCTGAATTTCGATAGGTTTGTCCTTATGATTAGCCAAAGAATTGCTAGTTTTTCTAAAAAAACTGTCACCCGTAGAGCGTTTACAAGGTATCCGTATCAGGGTATAAGTAACACTGTGAAAAATTGCTGCACGATTCTGAATTTGGACCGAGTTCCTGCTTTGAACAATGTTTGAAAATTTAAAACTCAAATCTCTGACCTATATACTTTCTACGAGAATTGTAGACGGGCGATGGTGACGTCATCAGCAGTATACTCTCAAATGTGGACGCATGAAAAGATCAGATGAAGATTTGAGATGATGAACAGACATGACTGATGGCAATAGTAATAGCAGTAGTAATAGCACAAGTAGCAGTGTGGTACCAAATGTAATCATAATATTCAAATTTGAAAAAGACCTGTTAAAAGCCGTAACCTCTATATCATTAACAAAGTTTTCGGCACAAAAGGTCGCGAAAATCTGATTATCGATTGGGTATATAATCTTGGTATATGTATTACATGCTCTGCCACGTTTTCGTAAAGAGGAACTGCCATTTTGATTCCGATTATCACGATTCTGGTTAGACAATTAATATATATTTAAACAGTTTTTCAAAATAAAAA